CCCCCCCCTGTTTCCTATGCGTACATTGTCAGTAGACCCCCAATACGCAAGCGTATGCATTTGGGTTAACCCGCACTCCTCCCTCCATGCGTACGGACTAAATGTATGACCCCTATCGCAAATCCAATCGCTGGCCCCCGCGAATTGAATTGTTGATGGCTGTCGCTGCTGTCGCTGCCTGTCAAGGCCTGCTGCAGGGCACGGGTTTTTTGTTTTGTTTTAGGGCTTTAAACTTTCATCGTGAGGAGAGGTAATAACATCGGATGCTACCGTTCACGTCGGAAGGCTGCAGTGGTTTTGAAATGAGGAATCGACGGGGAACTATTGATGTGGGGGTTGAGTCACGAGTGTTTCACAACCAGACAGTGAATGAGGCGGGGGGTGAAAAATTTCACATGTCACGGGTACCTTGTTCAATACAGTCAGCCCAATGTAGCCATAACCCGATCGTGTAATACAAGTATTGCTCCCAATTGTTATAGAACTAGGATCTAAAATAAGTCGAACATTCTGTGAATGCAACTGTTACGTGTCTCGTTCTGAAGACGTGATAAATGTGCACGTGATGTACTGTGCGCACACGTGTAAACACAATACTTAACAGCCTTTGTTAAAATACACTGCTGGATGAAGGCCTCCCCACGACTCACGTAAGTGGATTCACAGAGCAATGTGCTAACCACTGCCCTCCATGAACTGTTATGCTTCAAGGTAACGATTTAATCAAATAATTGATTTGTGAAAACCCATTTCATACGATAAAAAGAAACCTCGCCGATTCTTACAATACAATTCGGTGTACTACTTATTCCTTTGGGAAAATTAATTTCTTTATTAAATCGCTTATTCTGTGCATCACGATACCCTTAATGTGTACGTGTGTTTCCGTGTGCACGCACGGAGAAAGAGTGCTGGTGTAAATGGTCAGCATAATACACCACTCTCCTGTAAACCTAGGGCTCAGGTTCACTGGCAAACTCTCGAATCCCTGCAGTCACGAAAGCTTTAAATCGAAATCTCGTCTTGGCCTCGGCTTCCTCGGCGTTAACTCGGCCTAAAATTCCCAATCTGGTGCATCGCGGTCGGCATCCACGGCGGAGAGACAAAGGCGACAAGGCACGTGCGATGTTAGCCACATTATCACTTTCTGCCTGGTGCTCGTCTTAATAGGCGCTCGCTAACAACACTTGTCACCAAAGTTTGACTTTTAGAAGTATTTAGATGTGCTTGGTGTTGTGTATACATTTTTCTCAAAAGGTTCTAATATTCCACCAGCTATAACAAATTAACCAGGATAGTTTGTAATGATACAGCTACATTCGGGAGCTTAGCTTTTTAAATATTAACGTGCACTGTGCATTGTGCCCATGTAAGATCAGTCAAGAAGCTCTGATGTCAGACTAGAAATTAAAAGTAACATGAAAAAAACACGAGGGGGTAAAGAAGTGATACGACACTACGAACCTGCCGACCCGAAATCAATTCCCAGCAACTGACATCCGAACCAGGCTAGGGGCACCTCCTTCATGAAGCTGCACTGACCAGACTGATCAAGCATAGTCACAACACAAACCCCCACGACTGACACATCACAGGCAGGCCTTCACTCAACAGTGGACTTACAAATGACGTACCATTATTCTTGTTGTTATTGTTACATACGGACGAGGTTAATGTGAAGCTTGTCAGGGAGCCACCCTGATATGCAGTACTTTTCCACATGCACATCATAATTCGTGGCCTTGGGGAGAAAGAAAATATTTCTTGGCCCGGAGAAACTTACGTAAAATGTAGCTTTTTTTGGGAACGCATTAGTTAATACGTTGGTCATCACAAAGCCAGGCTTTATTCACTGGCTCTGCTTACACTCCCACTGTGAGAATTACACTTTTCCATTCCCCCAATTATTCTAAGTGCAAACACTTGGATGAGAACCAGGCACTGTTTTTTCCGTCCATCCAGGCAAGCGTGCCCAGGACGGCACTCACATTTTGCCTAACCGGCTGGGACAGCTGACAATACTAATGCATTTACCGGCGTGACCAGCAGCCTCTCTCGGCAGCAGCGGCGCCAACCCCCGTGGTTATTGGGCATGTGCTCGCAACGGTTCGGCCAGACCAAATCAAAATGATCGGTATTGATGGCAGGCGGACGGGGTTAAGCCAGGTTAGTAAAGCCAAACCCCATTAAATATTCACGTCACAGCTATATTGTGTTCCCTGTGACCAAATCACCCCGAATGGACCCGATCTCATCAGGTCTAGGGGGCGGCTAAGCTCTGCCGAGCCCGGTTGGATGAGCAGCTACTTGGAAATACACCGGTTTTGTAACCTTGGGCTGCGAGGTGGCCATGAGATGGCAGTACAGCAGGGGATTTCTGAATATGTTTGTGTGGATCTTGAGTTGTTGTTGCCTCCTCAAATACACGGACGGGCTCTCTCTGGCTGCTCTGGTTTCCTCCCACAAGGCAATACTCACAAAATGGAAATGGTCAAATATCCCAAGTAGGACCATCCTGAATTTTTTTTATTAAGATTAATTCAGGCCTACCTGGTTTAATAAGACATTTTTTTTAAATCATTGATTGATCCATGAAAGCTTCACCGGGTCTCAAGACTTTTTTTTCCAGGGAGGGTCAAAATTGGGACTTTAAGCCAAACCATTTTAATTAGTGTTTTTCCTGTGGGAGCAAAACTACAGCAAGCAGAGATAAACTCATCCCACACAAGGAAGTAACAACACCCAAAGGTCCACGCAGATGAGTGCATGAGCCTTCTTGCTGCGCTGCCATCTTCTGACCACTATTAAAGGAACCGAGCAAGTTTGGGAGTATCCCACATATGTGGCGAGCCACCCAGCCTGGATTACAGGTGTATGTGATCCCGAAAAGAAACTGAGCTAAGCCAGGTTAACAAGTGAGCCTCAAACACATTCTCTTTACAGCAGTGATGTTTCTACTTTAATCTAATTCAATTTCACTTAAAATGTTATATTACATTCTTCACGACCTCGTGTGTTTGAGTTGTCATAAATTGTACGCGTTTTAAATTTTCAGTTTCCAACCTTTTTTGCATAAACAGCGATGCACAAACATGGGTGTAATTGCTGAGCAATTCTACAAATAAAATGCCAGACCTGTGAAAAATGTGAAAATGAAAATCCGTGTTAAACCTCAGCAGTAAATAAATCCACTCCAACCCTCAAATGAGCTTTGGGTAGCGCTCATCAGTGCTGGCAACCTTGAGAGCCAGTGGGGAGAAATTCCAGAGTCCTTTTACGAGAGATAATCAATTGACAGAAACGCTGCTTTTAAAAAAATTACAAGTAATACTAACCACGTGTGAAATAAACATTTGCAACACGGACACACAATTAATACAAAATGTATGCAAATAAAGGCGTGCACTAGAAATACAGAGCAGAAATAAACACACTTCAATTGAAGAGGCAATTAACATGGCCTGGATAAACATTTACCAAGAGCTTGCATTAAACATGCAGAGTGTGCAAGTCAATAGCTCCGGAGGATCACAGTATCCACAGCATCCTGTCTCACCCCAGGTCCATTTACAGCTATGCGTGTGGGCAAACCAATCTCTTAGCATCTTCATATGCAAACCTAACATTACCCTGCAGCAGTTTGGCCCACAGAGAGATGACGATTAAAAAACTGAGAATAGGTTTTCCCCTTTTTTCTAGCAACAAAACAGCTGTGTTAAGATGTTAAAACACCAAACTAAAACCTTTTACAAGGAATCATGTCTGCATTAAAGCACAATACTTGTGGTCAGAATGCAAACAAAAAACACTCCGATAATAAATGCATTGTCTTTGAAACTGATTGGTCCATACCAGAGACAGTGTTAGACCAGAGGACGCCAAAAAGCGTACTAACACAAGTATTGTGGTTAATGCGGACTGGATTCCTTGTAAAAGGTTTCAGTTTGGTGTTTTAACATCTTAACACCTGTTTTGTTGCCAGAAAAAAGGGGAAAACCTATTCTCATATTTTGGTACTGGCAAAGGAGGTCCCATGATTTAAAAAACTATTAAACTTAATTTTTTATTTTACCAGGTAAAACCGACTCAGCTATATAGCTGTTATTCAGAAGCGACCTGACCCACAGATGATAGCACAACAAAGTGGCTTATCACGTGGAGATTTATAGCAGCCAAATACTGTAAACGCACGCCGATTCGAAATGCAGAGGGAAAAACCAGAGGAGCTGGAGAAAAATCCATGCTACCACGGGAAGAGAGAAAATGCAAACTAAAACTATACAGTTTTTAGGGTCATGATCAAACCCACGACCTCCTGCATACCAGGCGAGGTAGTTAACATCTCGCCACCATGGCCTCCTCTGTGCTTGTACGAAGGCACAATAAGCACAGAAGAAGCGCTCCTATCTGCAAGCACCAAGTAATAATTTTCCCAGTTCCAGCCAAGATATTAGGGGGCTGCCAAAGGGAAATCGAGCAGCATTCCATGGCTCAAGCGCTCCTATTTGATCCGACTCGATTGTGCCAAGATGACCTGGCACACAAACCACCCGCTCTTACAAACAACACCAAAGACCCTCCCTGCGTCAGCACAACACACAGGCCAACACACACTCTTTCATTAAAACGATTACATATGTAAAACAGCACGCATCCTCCGTGTGTGGGTTTTCACGGTTGTGCGGTATCACATCTCGATGTGCTTTCATCAGGTTGTCGTTTGGCACCAAGTCGGACGTTTCGCTGCACGTGCTGGGAACTCATTACTCCGGCAAGCGCAGCGAAAAGTCGGACAATCACGCCAAACAACACGTGGTAACCACTCAAAAACATGCCTGAGAGCGATAGCCGCTTTCCGTGGTTGGACAACAAACTCGACTGGACTAGAACGGGAGATTCCAGCAGATGGAGGCAGGCAATCTTAATTAAAAACACAAAACAAAAGCGGCACGGATTCACAATAAAGTTTTTCCCTGAGCGCGTACGGGCGCGCGACGCACCTAGTAGGAGGGCAGCTCCTTCGCTCCCGCACGCCTGCACCTCGGAGGCACTGCACGGCACGGACGAACAGAGCAGAGACTGCATCCCTCCCCGCGCCAACGGCACAACCGCATGCCGGGCCGACAGCGGGGCAGGCAGGCGTGTTACAGCCCGACCGGCCCACCGACCAGACCACCGACCGAACTGCCACCTGACCGGCCAACCGGCTGAGTGGCGGACGGACCACCGGACGGAATGAACGAACGAGAGCGAGCACAGCGGTCGCGGAGCGAAGGTTGGAGGGAGGGAGGAGGAGCGAGGGAGAGCGTGGCGGTAGCAGGGACCGAGAAATGGATTAGGATGAGCGCTCGCACGCGCTTGCGCGCGTGCCAGTGAACGCACGTGCGCATGTGTGTGCGGACGTAAACGCCAATCTGTGCGTGCGTAAGCCTTGCACATATACGTAGGCACGCGCACACGCACAGCCGGGGGGAGGGGGGGCTCTCGCGCACAGACACGCAAGCGCTTGCGCTGCCCGTGACACAACAAGGCTGCCCCGTGTGTTCACGCTGTGGTTCACAACATTGTCAATGTCACTGCCAACTCGACTATAATGGTACTCATCACAACCGTGACCAGCATTGTCATTCCATTATCTAATGCAGATTTCCTGAATTTTATGCCACAAGGAGCCACTCTGTCTCGCGGACAGACATACAGACACACAGTCCAACGTGAAATATAAACTCAGAGCAACAAACAACCACGACAAAAAAAACGGGCATAGGATCTTTTTTCACAGCGGCACAGCAATGCAGCACAGACGACACGCGCGGACATCGGGGCGCAGGCGCGCGGGCAGGCGCTCCCACAAGGATGATGTAATGCTACGTCTGGCTGTTGAGGCATTGGGTTGCTCGCTAGTTAATTGTTGTAATATGCGGCGATTTTTCCAGTCACACTGCACAAGAAGGGGGGGGGGGCAGTGAGGATGGCGAGGTAAGGATTCCGCACAGGCTAGTGTCGCTGCGATGTAATTACGTACATATCGTGATCATCTAAATCCTTGACTCATTCAGGAAATAAAACCTAAATTTAGTGGTCAGTTTTTTTTTTGCACTCGAGTCCTGCTACCCTGGAACGATGTGCATCGACCCAGAGAAAACCCACAGACCCGAGGTGGACATATATATATAAAACAGTCCCAAGTCGGTGCGATATGATCAGCGACCTACTTGCTGTACCGCTTGCCGCACACAGGACACCTGGTGGGGGTTCAGGCTCGCACGCGTGCAAAGGAACAAGTCAACGCTCGCTATTCCGCAGGCACCGATTCATTATGCATGAACCAAAGCTAAGGCACATCAAGGATGTAAACAAAAGCGGAATTTTTATTACGAAGAGAAGGCAATAAAAATCTCATTCATCGTCCTTAAAATCTTTCACGGCCTCAGCTCCCTCCTACACAAACTCCTACTCTCCCCTTTCGTGAGCAATATATTACAGTCAACTCTTGATTATCTGGCATAACAGAGCCCGGGGAAAAAAATAAAACGCGAGCTTTGCCAAACATTGGCATCAGTGGGTAGCCTATTAAACACGTAATTTAATGTTCGCTTATATACACAGGCGTGTCTGGGATAATCCAGCCACGGATAATCGCGTTAACTCCATCCACCGTTGCAGCCTCCAATGGGATGCTGCTGTTGCTCCTGTGCTGCTCACGTAGTCTAGAACGGCCTTGTCCTTGCTGCCTGCGTCTCTCTATCTCTCACACGCTTGAGCAGTGAGAATTGGGAACACGTCTGTTGCTGTATGACTCACAATCAGGAAGTCGTGATATGAAATATCGGTCGGGAGATCAGCTTCCATTATTGCTGAAAAAATATAACGATTTGTATTTATGAAAAAAGACTAAACTGAGTCTCAAGACTCTTTCAGGAGGGTCCTGCAGTGCGACTTTTGGTCAAATCCATGATGAGTGTTTGGCGTATATGACAAGGACAACATTCAAAGCGCTGCACAGATGGATGAAATAATCCATCTGCCATACAGCCACCTCCCTGAACACTTCATAACCCAACAAGTTTAGTATTTTCACAAATCTACATCGTCCACCAACCCTCGCCTCCAAGGCGCCAGATGGTAGGTATGCAATACATTATAAGAAGATCAAGTGGTTGTCTTATTTCGTGCCTTGCCCCCACCATAGTAATGTGGAATTTTGACCTTTGGCTGAATTGAGATACGCCCTAGATAAAGGAATGGTGACAGTGTACGCATTTGATGACCTTTAATAAAAAAAAATGTTTACCAGAAAGTGTTCAAACTGTTAATAAACGCAATGAATCTGACAAATGAATTTGCGAAAAAAATTGCAATCAAAACACCACTAGTCTGCCGCAGAATGCAACTGAAAATCAAATACTGCAAAGCCAATGGCAGCAGGGTAATAGCATCTATTCATCAGTCCTCCCAGACACGCCTGGATAGATGGGCAGTGTTCCCCAGGCCGCTGTAAATAATTGTAAATTATGGGACTAATTCCATCGCTGATATTAAAAATGGAATTGCAAACAAGATTCACGGTTGACTAAGTGTCACTTGTGTTGGCAACAACCACACAAATCAAGGGCGGCAAACTGGACGTCAGATAAATTCAATGGAGTTAATAATCTTTAGTTTACAGCTTTATCAGTTACATAACAACGACCAATTACATGTTATAGTGGCGTGTTTGACTCTAGATAATTATGTGAATTTAGAGCACTTTTGTCAATCCACTGCCAGATGAGGAGTGTGTGGATGGGGGGGGGATTATTTGACCATACTTCACCACGTTGGTTAGCGCTGGTCGGTGAAGGCGGGGAGCTAAATAGATGAGAGCATAGAAGTACAGTACAACAGATTATTGGAGCAGTGGCCTCGGCTGCCATCACGTAGCCCAACAGCTCTTATCACAATCTGTGGGCGGTGGTTACCAATGGAATGTTTGGTCGATGCCACTTTGCGGAGTTTTTTCCATTGGAGTCCACTCCTGACCCCATGCCGTGTGGATTATGGGTAATGATATTCAGTTGCTCCTACAGATTGCTTGATAAGCAGTTTTGAATTCTGCACACCCCGGTAAGCACACCCTGGTAAACACACCAAAATAAAAAAAACACAGTGATGGGTGCGGTGACACACTCTTAAATTCAGCATTTCCACAGCCTGGCAAGCATTCCAAGCCTTCAAATTGCAAGAACCAGATTCGTGTACTGTCTTACGGCACAAACGGCAGGACAATGGAAGGACAAAATGTGCCGTGCAGAATCAAAACAATGTACTTTTTGAAGGGATGCATGTGTAGTGAATTCAACCGAGTACTCTTTTGAGGCAACACATTTATTAATACCAACACACGGGATAACTGCCCCTTAACCAGATAACAACCTACGGTGGTGGACCACCAGGCTAACTGCACTAATTACAGTAACTAGCTCCAACAGACCGGACCACAGCTCGGGTCCAGGTCCACGTGTTTGAGACTCTGTAGGACGTAGAACGTAGATTTTTTCAGGATGAACAACAGCAGCCACGACCACCTTCCAGAATCCTCGAGCAGGATCTCGGCCCTGACACGTGACCACCCCTAGCCCCCACCTGGAGGCCTTGTGTAGACTTAACCGGTCATGTGTCCTTTGGGGTCAACCAGAGTGCCACGGCCCTTAGTAACCCCATTCCCATGGCCGGCACTCTCACACCCTATCCTGTAGGGGTCGGCACTGCACGCAGAGCGTGGTGCCATCCAGCACTGCCAGTCAGCGCTCACCAAGCCCCTCCAGGGCCGGTACTGCACCCACATGTACGTGGTGCTCACGATATCAACACACCGTGCCTCTCTAGGGCCTCTCTAGGGCCGGCATTACACAGTGACATCCGAGATGTCACTACACATGAACCATTTTTTTCACTTTGGTGAATAGAAAGAGTGGGTACGGGGTTTTCGGCCTTGGCAGGGCTGTGCTATACATTCTAATGCTGCGGTGCATCTCCCCTTGATAATGCAACAAGGCATTCCCTTATTGAGCGGTGCGCAATGTCCGGACGATTCCTTTGCAGCTGCAACGCTGCCCCCTAGCGTTTCACCGTCACTAAAATACTGAAGACGGGATCATTGGATTACACATAAATACATTTAAAAGAAGTGTGGAGAAGACTGGCACAAGTCCAGACTTACACTGAGAGACAGGGAGAGAGGAGCATGTGGATCAGGGAAAGAACACAAATCGGACACATCACACAGACTTGCAAGAATATATCCTTTAGAAGGGTTAATAGGTATCAATGGGCAAGATGAGTAATGGAATGGTAGCCAAATGAGATAATACATCAAAAGGCCAGATAACCGCAAAGATGAAGCATTGATTTTAGTTCATGTGCAGAATAGAGATGGTCTGTCATCGCAGGACTGAGGGATGGTGAAAACATGGGAAGGCCTTCATCCAGCCATGGACAGACAATGGACGATCATGATGTCGATTGTCCAAAAAACACCTGAGCCTTAGGGGATCTTTTCCAAGCAAAAAAATCATCACAAACAATGCCGATGATTCGACAACAGGACCATGGAATCACTTTCATGTTTCTTTTATATACCTGTTGAAAATTCTACACCTGTCCCTCAAGGTCAACTCCAACAGTTGGGTGTCCACCGCAATGCCCGTGTCGTTAACCTGCCCTCCTTCGACCTGCAGCACGTGGCCTAACCCATCGTATCCTGCTATTCATCATGATTACATCGACGACAACTCTTCCCTGTCAAATACTGTTCACAAATGTCCAAGTCGCTTAACCCTTGCGTTCCGAGAAAGAGACGGAACACACGCTCACGTGGGATTATTGAAAGGAGTCGGGTGCAATCCTGACCCGAGAATCACGATGACAAAGGTGTTACTGTCGTGAGAACAAAGCTGGCAATGTCGCGCCACTGCTGTCCCTATTAGCTGGAGGGCTTAGCACACGTAAACGTATGAGCACAGTAATGAGCGCATGATGAATAAATCACCTCTTCCCACGGCCCACAACCCCCTGTGCTCAAAGCCCCAGTGAATGGACTGACTGTTTGCTAAACGTGATTAATGATAATCCCAACAGGGCAACAGCGGAGCAATTATGAGACATTATGAACGCTTTCCGTGCCACTGCCGCTGCAGCTGCAATATAATTATTGGTGTAATTCACACATTGTCCTATTTACTGGTAAAGTGAACACATGTGTGCATTCAACGATTGCTGGTCCAGATAAGAGTTTTACGGTACAAGCTGCTACAAACAAAGATCCCCGTATAACCTGAACAGATTGTTGGGGCAAGTGCTGTGAGGGAGCGCCTCTGAAGGCCGACACGGCACACGAGGGGGTGGGTGGCCAGCACCTCGCACGACCGCCTTCGTCTCCCCAGGGGCGATGTTGACCACACACCACACTAGGTACGCATTTGAGGCTGAGTCGACCTAGGGGAGGAGTCCCAGGACCGATTCAAATAATCGTCAGGGTCGCCAGGTTCGTATCGCAGTGCGCTAACCGTTGCACCACCGCTCCCCACAAGCTGAAAGCACACACACATGAATGCAATCGAGGCCTCGTTAATATCCCATTAACATCACATCCCACTCACAGTGCACTCGTCCACATGTAAAAGTCCAGCTCCCATCTCAAACTCTCATCTGTGTTTATATGATTGGAATCACTCATCTGCTGCTCAGATAGTCTGGAAAACAGCCGGCTCCTTGCTCTGTGAAGATCTGCATATCTGTGCATAGTACCTAAACAACATTTTACTTTGTCTATGCCAAATGATTTATCGCAGTAATAACCGTACACTTTATCCATGAAAGCTTCACCAAGTCTCAAATATGTTTTTGTTATTCAGGAAGGTCCTGCATTGGGGCGTTTGGCCATTCCCATGTAAAACTGTTCGTCACCTATAACTGTTACACCATCACGAATGGTAAACATGTCACGTGATAGACATACACTAACAATATTTAGCACATTTTATGTAACTGTGTATGTAAACAAATCACACAAGCATGTATATAACTATAAATATGCATCTGTTGAAATTAATGACACAAAATCCCATACATTACACCTGCAATAATCGCCACACGTGAAGATATTATGTAGTACTGTATAATTAAATGCATACCTTGATGCATCCTATTTATTGTTTTTATTAAAATTGTCTTCCGTGGACAGCGCTCATCTTGATCGGCTGCCGAGGAGGCAAAGCGCGTTCCACTTTTTTCTATTTTTGGTGGCCAGCCTCTCAATGGGAAGCGCGACTCGCAGACGGTGCAGTTTCATGTATTTTGTGTAGCCCTGTGAGTCATTCGGCTCTTGAATCGGGTGCAACCGCAACAAACAAAAAACATGAACAAGAAAACATCTTAAAGTGACTATGCGCAAACAGAAAAATCCAGGAAAAAACTGAAAAGTCTTCCAGAAAAAAAGCACCGTACACCAACGCTGTGTGCAAAAATCCCAGTGGGATGCAAGTCAAACAACAACAACCACAAGACAACTTAGATTAAAGCCATCAGTCAAACTCCATACTACAACAAACAAACATGGCCAAACCAAGACACTTTTCGAAATCACCAAAATAAAGCCATAAGCATAGGAACTGTGACCGAAATTTCACAATAAACGACATAAACAACATCCACCACCAAACCCTGTAGCCATATCTGGCTGCATGAGCCACTCCAGTTGCTGGCGTTGTGGCACACGGAGTCGATGTGCATCTCTCAGCTGCACCAAGCAACGTGGGCTCGGGCACTCATCCCGAGGGCGGAGATTATCAAGTGTCGTATACACACACACACCGATGCCACGCCGCGTAGTAAACGCCACAAATTTAACAAATATAAACCTTAAAACGCATCTCAAACCGGGCGTGAGGCGTGACGGACTCGACCGAGGCAGTGGGGGGTGACAATTCCACATTCGCCTGGCGGGGATCAGTTTATCCAGCGGAGAAATTATATCTTATATATACACACATACACACGTTGTTGTACCACGTACATTGATGGAAAGAAAAAAAACTACAGATTAAAATAAATCGGTGACTTAAGTGGCGTTCACTCCACATCCCTGAGCAACTGCAATGAAGTGTCTCATACACAGAGTAAACGCAGCATCTGCAACATTTATGAGTACTTTAATGCACGCCTTGACTCCACAACACACACATACACACACCACACTTACCTGGCATTCTCTACGCGTGCCACGTGTCCCCCCGCGTGCAACGCAAACTTTCTCCGTCACTCGCAGCCCTCACAGCCGTCGACGAAGAGGGTCAGAGAGTAGGCGACATTGGCCGGGCCAGCCTTGGGGGGGTCATTGAGCAGACCCGCAGCGGTTCGGAACTGGACTTGCAACTACGACCCCCTGCGGCCTGGTCAAACACCGCGAGCCCCGGCCTCGCCTGGATCCGCTGCCGCTCAGGGGCCACCTAAGCCGGCGGCGCGCGCGCCGGGCACCCGGTGTCGCCTTCGAACGAGATCGGCAGCCACATTTAAAAAAGAAAGCCCGAGGGGGTTAAGCGAGTGATGCCCCTGTTGGTGACCGTGTATGTTGTTGCGTTAGATTTACGAGAGTTTGTGGAGAGAGATAGAAGCGGATTAAACTCAGTGCCACCGCAGTGAAGAACTCTGTGGGTTTAATAAAAAAATTCTCTTCCGGGTTTCAGCGAAGCAAGCGGGAGGGGCGGGGCTCGCGGGTTGTATCAACAGCGAGTGGGCGGAGTCTTGAGGCTTTGATTGACAGCCGGTGGGCGGGGTCTTGAGGATTTGATTGCCAGCCGGTGGGCGGAGTCTTGAGGCTTTGATTGACAGCCGGCAGGACCGATAATAACGACAGATATTTAATATTAACACGTTAAGTGAAAGTAGGGATTTCTCGACCAATATTGTTCATTACAAATGGGGCGGGTGGGGGGGTGAGATCTGTCAACCCCATACGGTTTAGCCCGTATTCTTGTACAGGGAAATTGAGTTTTCAGGTTCACACGGCGTGAAGCCGCTTCAAGTCACAGTTCCTATGATCACTGTTTCATTGCTTTCATGGCTTTATTTTGGTGATTTCGAAAAGTGTGTTGGTTTAGCCATGTTTGTTTGTTGTAGTACAGAGTTAGACTGATGGCCTTAATCTAAGTTGTCTTGTGGTTGTTGTTGGTTGTTTGACTTGCATCCCACTGGGATTTTTGCACACAGCGTTGGTGTACAGTGATTTTTTTTCTGCAATGTTTTGCTGTCTTTTCTTTGATTTCTGTTTGCACTCAGTCACATATTCACTTTAAGATGTTTTTTGTTCATGTTTTTGTTTTTTGTTTGTTGCGGTTGCACCCGATTCAAGAGCCGAATGGCTCACAGGGCGATACCTAATACATGAACTTGAACTTGAATACGGGCAAAAAAAATGTCTATTTGTTTGTGTTTCTCCCTTGTGATGGGACTTTGTAGGATGAACGTTGAGATTTATAAGGGCACGGGGTGACCAAAAAGATCTGAACTGGTCTGTAATAAGATAGGCACTGATAAGGGGTTGACGGGTATTCTAATTAGTAAAGTTTGCCACGGAAATAAAAGTGCCAATTAGTTACTACTTCAGCACACCGGTTGTGTTGGAGAGTAAACCCACAACGACCACCAGCGAAACATCGTTCTCGAAGTGTGAACGTCGTGGGTTCACTCTCCAACACACCGTTGTGCTGGAGCAGTGACTCATTTGCACGGTTTTTTTTACGTGACAGACCTTACCGAATTGGCTGTCGGGTGGTGGCAGGTTTTCAAGTTTCATTTATTAGGTATAGCCCTGTGAGACACAAAAAACTAAATATGAACAGAGAACGTCTTAAAGCGACGACGCCAGGGGCGGTTTCTTCATTAGGGCGATTGGGCGACGCACCACCAATGTCATTCAACCACAGAGTCACGCTAGCCGTCACTGTCAGCCTCTGGATATAGTCCAATCAGCGTCATGTCACGTTCTGTGGAGTACCGCCTCTTTTGGGGCGATTTCACTCCGGCTGAGAATCGCCCCGAGTGGCCCCATAGACTTACATTGAAAGATGTTTTTTTTCAAACGGGGGCGCTCCAATGCATTCTCTATGGCTTCCGGGAGGGCAAGCCCAAACGTGCTTACGTCATCATACGTGCTAACGTCATCATACGTAAGCACGTTTCATCCAACAATATAATTTATCGCTACCTAGTGGAATCTTTAATAAAATAAACTTGAGTGGTTTGTTTTAATAGTGAGTATATAAACAAACAAGATGTATTGTAAGAGTCACTTTATTTTTCATTAATATTAAAGAAGTGAAGTTGCCTTTACATGCTTAAGCTGTTAATTTATCCATTGCATGGGTGGACCTTATCCTTATCAATCATCCAGACATTTGCCCCCCCCTGAGAGATTTTGCAGGAGCCGCCACTGGACGACGCGCAACAGAAACATCCTGGATAAACCAGCAAATCTTCCAGAAAAAAAACACCGTATTACAACGCTGTGTGCAAAAATCCCAGTGTGATGCAAGTCGAACAATAACAACCATAAGACAATTTCGATTAAAGATATCAGGCCAACTCCGCACTTCTGCAAGAAACATGGCTTAACCATATATTTTCGACATCACCAAAATAAAGCTATAAAAACAATGTAACAACCAGTAATCATAGGAACTGTGATTCAAATTTAACAATGAACGATATTTAAATTTACGCTAATACCTTAAAAACCTTGAATATGGATTGACAACTGTGGGCGGGGGAGCGATACTTGACTGACAAGCTTCTGAGCAAGGCCGACGATGACATTGATTGACGACAAATCATGGGGCTTACAAGATTGACAGCGAGAGGCAGGGCTTTAGCATTGATTGCAATTACTCCATTGAAAGCCATCATCGATCCTACTGGCAGATTAATGCCCATTTGCGGGCCAGGTGCTGAGTACATTTGTGCCACTGAGGGTGCCTTTTCAACGTGTTGATTTGAGATGGAAAGCAATGAGACATCCCGGTGTATTGGGCAATATGTCAAAAAGCAAATCATTATCATTGTAATTGACATCTGAGGGCAGAGCTCATTTTCTAGTGACACATCTGACAGCGGTGAGTGGGTGTTGTAGCTTCCTTGAAATCAGTGGCGGGGAACCGTTTCCCAGGGGTGGTAAAGGATTTATCTGAGGGCCACGCATGAACAACACACCTTAGCGTTGTCCAATAATAGCGTGAAAAAATAATCAGGGCTTACATTTCCCGCTGTGACAGAGGCGACTTTGCATGCTAACATTAGCAACAGTGTCGCCCGGACGAACTATTAGGACCCAATCGGCGTGCCTCAGATGCTTGCAGTGACAGATAAATGTATCAAATGAAGCCACGGTCGGTGCCTGGACCGTGGGCTGGAGGTGTTCCACCCTCCTATTCGTGTGAGAAATAATGAAAGGAGATGCCTACAATACTCACAGGTTTCCTGTGTTGGGTTTGTCTGCAAAGCAGCTTGATTATAAGTCACGGGTCTCAGCGTGATTAAATCTAGTTGCGCAAAAAGTGCACGCAAACACCAGCCATGTATCGAGAATAGCTTTATTATAAGTTAACACAATCCTGCATATGCATACAAAATGAAAAATAAATAATTTCAGGGCAGGTCATTTCAGACATGTACATAACAAGCACTGACACAGATTCCAACTCACGGCACAGAGAAAAAGGCCCACAAGCGTTGTGGCATTCCAAACCCAATCACACACTGTTGACAAGAAGCCTTGTCATGTTTAACCGGTTTGGGCTTCTGCATCCAGTAAAATATTGACTTTGTCTCAACAGCATGCCTCTACAGTCTTAATAGCGTGCCACTATTATCGAATAGCCTACCTCTGTAGCCTAAGGGCCCTTCTCTAAAGTTAACATGTTAAACAAATACAAAATACTGATGTATGCAAATCTTTCAGGGCAACAGGGACTGTCCCATTTGAAACAAGACATTTGCTAGCTTTATTTCTAATTGGTGTCCTCGATCGTGCACTTAACATCCAGGAGGAGGCTGGCGACCTCCACAGCCACTTGGAGGGCATTGCTTCTGACCGTGAAGGAGTCGAGCAGCAGAGAGGGTGGAGGATCCGGCGGTGCGAGCAGCGGTGTCGGAGCCGTCGCCTCGTCACCCAGCGACGTGGAGTCACGATGGCCACGTTGGCCCAGCCACCGCCAGCTCACGCCGGGCGGGGGCGACACCAGGGCGCCACACGCACAACTCTGGAGCACGGCCTCCCAGTCCTCATCCGGCAGAGCTACTCGCCACGCCACCCAAAGGTGCCCAAACCTGCAAACGAGACCAAGCCAGGCACATCTCCATCAAGAACCTACAAGCGAGGTTATGATATTGGCATGGAAGTCACGGTGGTCAACGAAAAATACACACGCAATATTGGGAATGTTTAACACGTAGGCTTTCGCGACCAATATTATTCATAATCAACGTTTTTGGGTTAAATCGTGTTATTTATAAATGTGTCGTAACCCTCCACCACCCGACACGGCCAAACAACAAAAAAAAGTGTCACGTTGACAAAAGACAAATAGTTCACTGCTTTAGCCCACCGGTGTGTTGAAGCGTGAAACCACAACATTTACAATTCTTGAGTACTCAAACTATTGAACTATTTGTCTTTTGTCAACGTGACACTTTTTTTGCTGATTGGCCGTGTCGGGTGGTGGAGGGTTACGACACATTTACAAATAACGAGATCTAACCCAAAAACGTTGATTATGAATAATATTGGGAATGGCTGTACAAACACATTGGATTAGGCGCTTTATCTCCTTTAAAAAAAATGACGTATGTCACGTGCTGAAACTACAAATCTGCATTTTCAGTCCATGACTTACGGCTTCCGTCAAAATGTCAGCCATTGTCATTTGCAGTGGCAGCTGGCGGGTCGTGGCACTGTGGTGGGTTGTGGCAGGTGGCGGAAAGAAATGAGGGCCGCAGGGCTGTAATGTCGCGGAAACCTCGGCGGTGAATGTAACAAAAAAAGTATCAGACCAAAACCATAGCCTTACCACTGAGACAAGCATAGGGGTTCCTAATTTTAGTGGACTCTGTGCGGCTGCACAGTCCGCCAACGTGAACCCTAACCTCAAACCAAACCAGGTCTGCACCTGCTGTCCACAAGGTGGGTGCTGCGGCCTTGGCTCAGCGTGCACGCTACGGCCTCCAGCGCGCCCGCCAGGTGTGACGCCACGCTGCGCAGCTGGGCTCGCGAGCAGCGCAGCTCCTGCAGCAGCTCCTCGCTCAGCCCCATCGCCTGCATCACAGCAAGCGCCGCAAACAGAAACAAAGGTCCCCCCCCCCTTGTGGGCTCACAGACTGCGTGGGCAAGTAGTGTGAGCGATTGTCTCTGAATAATAAAGGCCGGTGAGGCTCTTGAGAGAGGTAACGTGGCCGGTGCCACAACTTGCATCACATAAACCTGTTGGTCGCTTCCTGCATTTCGATAATGATGTTTGTCTATGAGAATCAAGTCCATCTCGTTTGTAAGTTCACCAGTAATCCATTTGTGTATTACACTGCAACATGTAATGCATCACGGCTCTTTGGAAATAAGGTGATAAACATGTAAGCATCAGGCCAGAGACCGAGATGGAAGGATTAGAAATAGATGGTTCGAAATAGCAAACAAGGATATGACTGACTGTGGAGTGGCCCGAGAGAGGAATTAGTGACGAAAGAGGACCAGGAAGGCAGACCTCACTTTCGTAGGAAAATGCCAGGAAGAAGGATGGATGGCAACCATTGGTCTATGTCTACGTGCAATGCTGATGCACCACATTCTGTGCGGTGCCTATGTTACTGAAGGGACGGACTCACCGCGTGTCTAATGTAGGCGGCCAGGTGGGTCTCCGTACAGCCCCCGCCAAACAGGGCCAGGGGCTCCTTGAGCAGAGCCTGCAGGGCGTGCTGGGCTGCCTGGCACGCCAGCTGCAATGCAGGAAGCAGGGCTTACACTCACGGCAGCATGGGGAATTCACTGTGGGCGGAGGTGAGAGACCTGAAGCACGCAAGGTTTAATATACATGCATAGGCCTTTGCTCAACCAACTGCTAGATTAGGGCTTCTCTATGCTATGCGGGTCATGTAGGTTATATGATAATACTAGATCTGAAGTTTTCGTGACTGCAAGGATCCATACTCTTTGGTTTTTTCGGTAAAGTCACGTGACTTTACCGAAAAAAACAAAGAGTATATGATAATACTTTATCACGTGAGTGTGGATTGGTATAGACAGGCCGCATAGACGTGGGAGCAAGAGAGGTACAGTACAACAGAAACTTTTGCTGCACTGCCTTCTGATGCCAACCACACATCCTATAACACCTGTTATTCATGGTGGTCATCCATTCAGGCTGAAACCTGCTGAGCGTCTGAGGTCTGATCAGATCGGTCACAGCGTGATTTGGCCACAGGCCACAGGCAAACACCATGCAGGATTGGAATCTCACAATCCCTTGTGGACCCAACGTGCATCGCATTTGCCACAGCAGGGGCCTCTTTTACCGCATACAGCGGTGCTCTTTTGTCCGTGCGCAGTAAATAAAAGTTTTAAAAACGGAGGGTTTCTGACACTGCCGGAGAGGCGTTGCGGACGGCCCAGCGAGGCGAGCGCACCTTGAGCTCGGCGAGCGCGGCGTCGTTGCGGTGGCACAGCACGAGCGTGCACACGGGGGGGGCGTCGACCCCCCGTAGGTGCAGGAAGCGCTTCTCCCCCACGCGCACGGTGTCCGTGCCCCGCACGAGTCCGAGCTGCGCCAGGGTCACGACGCCCACAAACGAGCCGAGCGGCTGGGCGCCTGGCGGTTGGGGGGGGTGGGCAGGAGAGACGCCACAGCGCTCGCAACGCCTCCGCCGACCGATCGCTTGCGCGTACGTTTGTAAAGTCACACCGTCGGCCTACTTGCTGCACTGGATGTCACGCACAGGACACCTCTGAGCTCGTGCAGGGGAAATTCTGATGCACACAATGATGATGATGACGATGATTAACCAACGACCTGGAAATATTTTCCGGTAAGACTGTGGTATATGGAACGTACTTAGTGGCCACAAATATAGCCAGTGGCACAATGGATGTGGTGTGCTGGGAGTGTAAATATATTCTGGGTCGCTGGTGAACTGTGGCATGTGGCATGTGACCAGTGTCGACAACCAAGGCGTGGAAGTGGTGCACCATGAACAGAACTAATTTTCCGGGTTCGCCAATCCAGACAGACCCGGCTGAAATGAGGCCCTACCGATGACGACGACGATGATCACCTGTAAGGCGGCAGAGGGGCTCAACGAGGGAAGCTCCGAGGCGGTCGATCACGCGTGCACCGCGCTCCTCCAGGAACTGGCCCAGCGCAGGGTGGACCACCTTCTGGCAGGCGAGCAGCCGCACCCCCAGTGCCAGCAGCCGCTCACCCAGACTCAGCAGCTGCGCAAGCGTGGCACCGTGCACACTCACGCCCACCGCCACCTGTGGCCAGTCAACACACCCCAGCAAAGACGAGCATGGGGTAGAATGCGTCGCAGCACGGTGTGTGTGCGTTTATCTGAGAACCAGTCTTGGGCCACCTCTAGGTCGACTTAGGCTTACAAGAGCGCAGCAAATTTCATGTCCAGTGTGTAAACATCAGCACCGGTGAAGACAAAAGCGTCCAGCCGTGATCCTGCCCACAGCACCCTTCCATGACCTGTGCTGGCTTTAATAAGTGGTCACAAATAGCAGTAGCCTCAAGAGTCTACATTGCTATGCAGTTTATGGCTATGTGTTGTATTCTCTTCGTGTACTCATGTGGGGAGCTGTGGGGCCAAGTCTAAAACAGGTGCTGTAGCCTGTGTGGCTACATTGTGGGCAGCAGAGGGCAGTGTAGCCAAATCCATTGTTGTACTGTACCATGCTCCCACGTCTATGCTCCCCACCTTCGCCAACCGACCCGCACTGACCAGCATGGTGAAGGTTGGTCAAATAAACCCCATGACGAGCACGGCATGAGGAGGCTCTCATCCAGAAGTGGATTGACAAAAGGGTTGTATGTGTGCGTTTATTTTTACGTGAAGTCTTGCAATGTTTTGGATACATTCATACAGTAGGTGTGACATATCGCATACGCTTGCCTCTAAACATTACCAGGGGAACATTACATTTACTCAAGAGTCAAGGAAAAAATCTGCCCAAGATGTATACAGCATGTACGAGGCAGGGTATTGCATTCGGTAAAAAATATACAGCACAACGGGGCAGTATCAATGTGCAGAGTGTATTGTCATGTAAGCCATTGGCATGAATCGTAAAGCAAGCGCAGTATTGTGCCAAGGAGTTTACCCGTGGTTCACTCTGTGTCCAATGTGTACAAGTAATCTAAAACTTGGGTTTTTATTTCAGAGGCAGCCTTCGAGTTGTGAGACGCACCTCGTGGCGCAGCTCCCGCTCGCCGCCCTCGGCCACGTCCCCCGACAGAGAGGTGTTGAAAACGGCCACACGGATGGATCCCTCGTCACCTGGGCTCCCTCCCGCCACGCTCACCGCCAGCTCGGAGGTCTCCACCAGCAGCCCCGGCAGCACACGCGTCTCCTCGACCGGCGGTCCCACGGCGCTCACCAGCACGGCGTGACCCAGGGTCATCGTCGTCGGCCGTTCGTCGTCATCGCCGTCACAAGGTGCCAGGCCGCAGCTCGGCACCGTGTGGAGGAAGGAGCGCAGCAGCGCGGTGGAGACGTGACGCGCTGCTCGTCGTGACAGGAGGCATGCCGGCTTGCTGCCCAGCACCGTGAGCACCAGCGACAGCAGCCGGGGTAGCGAACCCAGGTCCACGCGCAGGCGGCAAGCGCACTCCTCCGAACGCAGGTAGCTTTCGCACAGCTGGGAACACACAGTGGCATCCGTCAGCCCCTCCGCGCCTTCTGCGTGACCGCTTTCCATCGTTTGCATAAAGCTGCGGGGTGGAGCGATGGCGCAAGCAATGTTAATTCTCGGGGTGGAATTCAATTTAAAAAGTTGAATGGGATGGATTTTTACGGAATTATTGATGACTTTGCTGAGACAATTTTATTGAATCAAGCATGAGTGAAATCCACTATCAAACCCAGCCTTTGAGTGGTGCCAGCTCTTTTACATGGATGTTTTCATCAAACCAACTGAACTAAATAACTTAATTTAAAATGTACACGTAAAACGAAACTATTTTTTCATCTAATAATACAGTAGTAGTATTTTGTTTGGCTCATTAACCCTCCACCACCCGACAAGATTGTCACATTTACAACATTGTGTTAATTTCTTTTTGTTATAGAAAAAGGCCACCCACACTCTGCATTCCAAATGTTCTGACCTGCAACGGGTGGTCATGCAGTGTGCCTGCTAGCCCTAACCCCAACACATCATCACCTGGCATCCTTGAAATCTGCCTGCGATCCCGCATCCTAACCCTTCCCCACCTGCAGCAGGCGTCCCTGCACTCTTCCCGTGAGGCCGGGCGGCACCTCAATCCCCCACCCGCCCTCGAGCAGCAGGGAGGCGAGCAGCGCGGCGAAGAGGCCCCCGTCGCCGCACCGCCCCAGGTGCCCACGCACCGCGGCCGCTAGCAGCCGCAGGGTGGGGCCCGGCGGATGCAGGGCCGGGAGCAGCACGGCCGAGGTGGAGGTGGCGACGGTGGGGCCGCCGGCCGCGTTATGCAGGAGCTTGAGGCCACCCTGGGGCCCGTAGCAGCTGCCCAGCAGCGTCCGGAAGAGGCGCGCTTCGCCCCGCTGCCGCTCGTCCTCCAGCGGATCGGAGACGCAGCGCGACGGCAGCTTTCTTTCGAGACGCGGGCAGGAGGACATCGCTGCTGTTGTGAAAAACAAAAAAGGTAAATCGTCATCGATGGTCGAGATCCGCTGCTGGATGAAGGACTGCCCACTCTATCGCCATAAATGACAGTCAGTTTAACACGTAGGTTTTCGCGACCAATATTATTCATAATCAACGTTTTTGGGTTTAGATCGCGTTATTTATAAATGTGTCGTAACCCTCCACCACCCGACACGGCCAATCAGCAAAAAAGTGTCACGTTGACAAAAGACAAATAGTTCAATAGTGTGAGTACTCAAAAATTGTAAATGTTGTGGTTTCACGCTTCAACACACCGGTGGGCTAAAGCAGTGAACTATTCGTCTTTTGTCAACGTGACACTTTTTTGCTGATTGGCCGTGTCGGGTAGTGGAGGGTTACAACACATTTATAAATAACGCGATCTAAACCCAAAAACGTTATGAATACCTGACAGTATCACAATGCTCGCAAGACGAAAATGGATTTTACTGCACTAACGTTTTTAGGCAGCAAATTCTTAAATCAAATCCTGATAATTCTGAGTAAAAAAATACTCCATCACTCTAGACAAGAAAACCGCATATACGTGTCAGCATGTACTGTCCTGTAGTATCACGATTATATTCTGCAGGAAGCTAACAAGTAAACAAATGTACGAGAACATTCTCTGGCACACACGTACAGGAATTGAAAAAGCCTTAACTGATATTAAATGTAGAAATCCGTGGTTAAAATCATGACATTCTAAATGTCAATTGCATATGTTAAGTCCTTGCTTAATACGTGTTCACTCGACACGTTTTCGCTATAACGTGGATCTTCTATTGGGAGAAAATAAAATTCACACCGCGGAAACGCGCCCGTTATAACACGGAATGTGCTTCGTCATAACACGGAAAGCGCTTCGTTATAACACGGAATGCGCTTCGCTATAACTCGTTACATGCTTCGTTATAACGTGGAACGCGTACCGTTACACCGCTGAACGCGCTTCGTTATAACGCGGTTTCTGAGTGGTGAACGGCGAACTACTTTCTTGAGCTGAGCGGTGCGACACAGCAATGCGGTGGCGTTACCCTCAAGTTATTTCTCCCGCAAATTTCAACTGAGTGCGTGCGTGTGCGTCCTACCTCGCCAAACGTAATCGTTACGTTTCTAACGGCGAGATTGTTTTGGGGAAACGCGTCTTTCACCGAGAACGGAACTTTTCAGCAACGGGGCTTGCTGTCGTAGGGAAGCAGGTCAACCACAAGACACTGGGTATCTATCAACCAACAGCTGCGAGCTTTCATGTCATCGGTATTGCTGTTCAAACCATACGATTTAGCCCGTATTCTTGTACAACAGGGAAATTGAGTTTTGAGGTCCATACAGCGTAACAGCCGTTTCAATACGGGCAAAAGTCATGTTTGTCTATTTGTTTGTGTTTCTCCCTTGTGGGATGAACGTTGGGATGTATAAGGGACACGGGGGTGATCAATAAGGTCTGAATTGGTCTGCAATAAAGTATGGCACTGATATATGCATCAGCAATGCCAAATCCACGAGATTTTTTGACACGCACAAAACGTTAGCCGCTCGTGGAATTAACTCGCGGCAGCAACAAACAAACACACGTCTCCGAAGTGGTTCTTAGGTCACCAAATCTGGCCACAAAGTCCGTAAAAATGCCACTCACCAGCTCGTCTGCTGTGGTTGTCGCGGAAGTGAGTAGCAGGGATTGTGGGCGGTTGCCTGGGTGACGGCGCTGCAGGGTCAGGGTCCGCGTTAAACCACGCAGTTTGTACGCAGCAAGTGGTGCTGGTGGCAGGAGGCTTTTGTGCCACCAATATCCGTAATAAAGTTTGTTTTTTTTGGGGTGTTAGATCGCGTAAATATAAATGTTTAACATGATTGCTTTCGTGTCAACAATATTTTCCGTAATTAAAAGTGTTTTTTGGGGTTAGATTGTGTAAATATGTTTAACATGTTGGCTTTCGTGCCACCAATATCCATACTAAAGTGTTTTTTTGGGGGGTTAGCCCTCGTAAATATAAATGTTTAACATGTTGGCTTTTGTGCCACCAATATTATCCGTAATAAAGTGTTTTTTTGGGTTAGATCGCATAATAATGTTTAAAATGTTTCCTTTCGTGCCACCAATATTATCCATAATGAAGTGTTTTTTGGGGTTAGATCACGTAAATATAAATGTTTAACATGTTTGCTTTCGTGCCACCAATTTTACCCATAATAAAGGTTTTTTTGGGTGAGATCGTGTAAATATAAATGCTTAACATTTTGACTTTCGTGCCACCAATATCCGTAATTTAAAAAGTGTGGGTTATATCGCATAAATGTCGTGAAACCCGCCACCACCCGACAGGCAATTTGGAAAGGTTTGTCGCATAAAACAAAAACGTGCCAATTCGTTAATAGTTCAGCACACCGGCATGTTGGAGAGTAAAACCCATAACATTTACAATTCGAGTGCGACGTTTCGCTGGCGACAGCAACCAGCTTCATTAGGCAATAGTTATAATCGTGAGGAAGTCTTCTTTATTTTCTATGTACGTGACTTTACCGAAAGACCCAAATAATATGAATTCCTGCAGTCACGAAAGCTTTAAGTCAAGATTTAATTAAAATGTTGTTTAACTTTTTGAATGAGGGGGGTACCGCTAAAATGATATTAAGGTGTCGAATCCATTTCTACAAGGGATACCCACGAGATGATTTTCTTTGCTGGGTTTGAGCATGATCCTTGTCTTTTTGTGTGGGATTTCTCAAGTCAGCTTCGGTTTAAGAATACACATTTGTATTTAGGACTTAAAATCCCACAATGTAAAACCCGCATAAGCCAAGCATCCATCCAATACCTCTCTGAAAGTCACAAGACTCTGCGACCTTTCCCTGGTATTAGATAACTTAACAAACCTATACGCTGAACCAATTCGTTAATGGATATGCCACTATGAAGGGATTTCCGATACAACAGCCTTCACCACAATCATGGTTCTGTGTCAATGTGGCAATGGTCAACCGATTCCTATTAAATATCAAATGTATGTTTCTACATTAATCTATTGTCGAAACACAGTGATCGTCACCAAAGGCCATGGAGAGACAATAAGAACATACAATAATCATTCTACTGCTGGTAAATTCAATTACAAACTTTCAACTTTATTATGCTGGTTCCGGGGTTATTAGAATTCTGATATTGTTCATGCCTTCAATCAACATGCAAGGCAATCACCATGTCAGGAGATAAAACAGAATTTTAAACCCTTCAAATTTATTTCAATGAACAGTTTTAAAATAAAAACAAGATAGACAGTACATTTTGTAATGCAGATATGTTCACAAGGAGCGTGCGTGTTATCCACAGACCTGTAAAACATCCCATTGCTAGAGACCTACAAAAAACCAGCAGCATCTGAGTGTGTGCATTTAGACATTGCAGTTTGCAGCATTGGAGACGCTTGTGAAATGCAATGAATGCAAGTGATCCGTGTTTCAGTCCAAGGGCTATGGACCCATGTTTTGGAAAAAAGAAGCAACCTTAATCAGGGGTAAAAATCATCTGTTGGTCGAACTACCGCCTGTTCAGTCAAGTGCACCGTGGCTTTTAGAAAAATCCACTTCACCGAGTTCAATGTGTCACTAGCACCATGCGATGTGCAAATGATTCAACATGCCTCCCCGTGTGTGCTCGCCATTTTCTCTCAACCCAACCATTTCAAAAGGGGCTAGAGGAATACAACTTTTCTCAGTCTTGTAACAGTACTGGGGTGTTGATAAAAACAGACCCATGTCGTGGCTGTTACAATCATAATATTCTAAGCAGTACAGGAAGTACGGTGCTACCTTATTTATGCAGGGTTTGCTCATTTTCTCCTAGGTGTGGGTTTTCCTCTCGCAACGCATAAACATGTTATCCGACTCTCTGTTGTGTACATTACATTTCTAAGTATACTAGATTTGTGTTTCTATTTCATTTATACCTGATGATGATTGCTTGTGTTGCAATCGAAACGTCGTATGCTAGTATTTTATTTATTATTTTATCTTTATACGTGACTTTACCGAAAGAACCAAAGAATAATTCCTGCAGTCACGAAAGCTCCAAATTAAGTTTGAATGCATAAACACTCAAATCAAATCAGATATTGGCTGAAATTCCCAAGCAAAACCCTCCTGCAAGAGCCATGATACTCAACAAGGCTTTCCCGGGTGACTAAAGAGTATGTTATAACACATTTTAATAAACTCTGCATCTTGAGTCCCATCCCGAACAGCCGTGATCTGTGTGGCTGCCGACTCGGTTCTTGATGAGCAAGGGGGCAAGCGAGTGGAAGAGCAGATGAGCGCTGCGACGTCTCGCTCCCTCCTCTTTCGACGCCGCTCGCTCAATCACTCGCATGGCACGAGGCCGTGCGTTCCGATGGCTGCCACGGCGCGGGCCTCACTCAGCCGACCCTGCGCATGCAGTGGCGGGCGTGTCTGCGTGCAGCAGATGCGTCGCTATCCTCTCCACGTCGTCCAAGCTCAGGCTCTTGAGGGTCCAGTCGTAGTCCTGCACCAGGCATGGGAATTCGAGCTCACGTCAACACACCAGAGGATAAAACATGGCCTATAACAATCGTGAATTTGCAGATCCTCCGTATCACTAACTTATGGACTGTTCCAGCAAGAGCTGTTAGTGAGCATCCTGTGAAGGACTGCGGTGCTTGAGCAGGTGACATGGCTAGACTCCATGACCAGCCGAACAAGGTACTTATTTGAAACTGAGTGGACATAAGGGAAACCCAGTACCGATTCAAATAATCACATACCACCATATTCAGTGCCGTGTGCTTAACGGTACGCTGCCACTCCACATAGTGCACATATGATCACACAGACACGATTTGTAGTTGTACAGATTGTGCGGTGTAATGTTAATCTATGTCAGTGATGCAAAAGCCTCTGCCATCATGGACACTGCCCAGTGACGCAGAGACTCGGCTGATTCAACCGTGAGCAGTGGTTCTTAACCTTTACTGCAGCCTTGCACCCCTTTGATTCTCAATCCTTAACAACACGTTAATGAACACACAGGTTTAGTGAAACAAAGTAGTTGTATTTACGTGCCTGTGCTTAATTTGTGTTGCGATGATTTACCTTCTACAAAAATGTGGCATGTCTCACACCCCCAAAAAGGGCATTTTGCACCCCCAGTTAAAAACCACTGTCCTCGAATGATCCCATGCATATCCCACAGACATCCCATATAGATCCCAAAGGGGTCCCACACAGATCGAACAGGGACGCCCCCCCCCCACTGTAGAGACACTGCTCCATGGGTGCTCAGGGCCTCGGTGGATTAGATGGGATCCCTATGCCCGGGCGTCACGCACCTTCTTGAACTGCTGCAGGACCTTGTGTGCGTCGGACGGGGAGAAATGCTTGGCGAGGATGAGCGGCAGCAGCTCCCAGAAAGTGGAGTCGCCCTCCGCCGGAGCCGCGGCCGTGGGCGACTCGGGGGCCAGGGTGGGGGCGACGGCCCCCCGCTCGGTTGCCTTGAGCACCAGGTTGAGGCGCGCGTTGTGGGGAATGCTGTAGTCGCTCAGCTGCAGCTCGTCTACGGCACACGGAGAGGGGGCGCAGGACAGCCTCGCACGGAGACCGAAGCAAAATGATGATGACAGTGCGGATGAGAATGATTGCAGAGCAGCTCATTGCTAGGCCCGTAATAATTCAACACCCCCCACAGAGCAAACTTTGGCATCTGAAGCAGATGGATTATATTTGAACCTCCAGCAAGAGTGCGTATTGGGCAATTAAACTGTGATGTGAGAAACGGGAATTCACTCGACTACAATTAGGGGTCGGCACAGTTTGGCTCAAACCACCAAACCGCGGTTTGAACCGAACCAAATCGGTTTGGTTTGGCTCTGTTTGAACTGGTTCGGTTTGGTTTGGGGCTACGAAAACCGACTTGGTTTGGCTCGGACAGGGTGGAACCGGCTCAAACTAGTTTGGTTGGTTGTAAAGGCCGAGTACAGCAATATCAAGGACATGATGACGGACATTCTCAACCAGCGCTACCCAGCGTTGACGACGGACGCGGCGCCGAAGGCGGCGCCGCGTGGCGGCATTAACATCCTCTTTGACATGGTCTACGCGCCCAACGCTCACGACGGCGCCGCCTCCGAGGTCGACCGCTTCCTGCTTGAGCCGACTCAGGACCTGAGCATGGACGTCGTCGAGTGGTGGAAGCTGTACGGCGGCAAGTACCCGCGCCTACGACGCGTGGCCCTCGACTATTTGCCTATCCCGGCGTCGTCCGTGCCCTCCGAGAGAGCAAACTCGGCCGCCAAGCGCTCCTTTCTCGACCGACCAAACCTGCACAAGTGCACGTTCAAGGCCGAGATGTGTGTGCGCTCGTGGGCGCGGATGTTGCCTAGTGTTGGGGTTTCACTGCCATTGAACTACCACACTGCGTTCAAGGACATTGGGCGTGCCAAGCTTGAGGAGATGGCTGTGGACGACATCGTCATCCAGTACTTGCTAGTGAATCTCAATATGAAGAAAGCCTGCGTAGAAATTAGCGATTAATACACTTGATATTTGTATTGAATGCGAATATTGTTTGCCGCGCATCTTTTCGGTTCAAGCCAACTCAAGAGGTTTGGTTTAGCTTAGTTTGGTTTGGTTTTGGTTTGGTTTGGTTCAGTCGTCGCTAGTTTGGTTTGGTTTGGTTTGCTCAATTTGAAACCAGTTTGAGTCGGTTCAAACCGTGCCGACCCCTAACTACAATCTCAATAAGGCAACTTTTTAATTCTCCATTTACAGTATATACGTGGTGGCTGCACCACCCACGCGTCGTTCTGATAACACGAAGTGTAGTTGAACGAGCTGTCATCATTCGAGGTAACAATTTGATCGAAGCATCAATGATCTTTCATCTCATTTGAACATCACAGCAGGAAATACGACGGCAGGACGCTTAAATAAAGAAACAACACAAATGACAAAGATCTCTCGTCGTTTAAGATAAAACACCTTGCGGCTGTCTAACAAAAGTCGGAAGCTTTGGTTGTGAGAATAAAATACTCTACGTGAATTACAGGAGTTTAATGGTGCTCCAGCGATGTAGTTCGTGTGACCCACGCTGTGTTTTATCCGACACCACGATGACAACTTGTCAAAGCGTACCCATTTATGGGGTAGCCTACGGATTTAAAAAAAAAAACCTTTTAACGCAGGGATTTATGGAAGAATAAATTGCGTGAAAAGAATCGACAAAATGTTCATGAAGTGGTAGGATTAGCCTGGAAAATCGGTACAGTAAAATGATTCAACACTCGGTATATTTTGAAAATATGCACTGAGATCACTAAATCAAAAATGGCACATTATCGTAAGTAAACTTTAAAGATGTTTTTGCTCTTCCCCTCCCCCTGCCCCATATACAGATGCCTAAAATTCCCGTCGATAGCAGTGCCAAACAACACAGCCGTGCGCTAAAAACCCCAGACGCTCAAGACAATTTACAGGTAGACACATAACCTAAACAGCACTCGCCCTTTAGATGCACACCGAGGCTGTGTATCCCAGGTCGTCCAACACGAGTTTGATCAACGAGACCTTAAAATAATTTTCAGCCGTGCTATGATTGCACTCATTTGATATCACTACCAAATATTTAATAAAGCAATGTCATCATATAATTGTTGTACCATGGTAACGTAGTGTATACCGTGACTTAAATGTATCGTTTAAGTAAGTTACCAAAACTTTAAACTCATTTCGGCCAGCCCAGGACACACAGACTAGGGTGGGTGTCTTCAAGACGAAAGCGAATTGTCTTTTGGGTTTGTGTCTTCCTTCCCAGATGTTGTTACCCCCCCTTAGCTCTGACAGCTCCAGCTCATCGGCCGTGAAGGACGCAAGAGTCAAAGCCAGAACAATGCGGTGCCTCCTCTGTCCATACCCACTCCTCCTCCAGGAGCAGGACCTGGGTTGGACCCCGTTCCAGGGTCGTGGCTTCACGCAGATGCTCACCCATCAGCGGCTTTCCCTTGAAGAGCAGCCTTTGCTGCTCGGAGGGGACCTTGAGCTCACGCTCCACCAGCTCCTTCAGCCGTGACACCAGGTCCGACTCCGAGACCTACGCTCACACAGACGAGGTCCATTAGTGGCCAACTCACAGCACTCACCTCCCACTATCACCGCTCGCCTCCACTGACTTCCCACCATCACCACTCACCCCCAACCATCCTCACCCCCAACCATCCTCACCTCCACCATCATCACCCAGCTCCAACCATCCTCACCTCCACCATCACCACTCACACTTCCTAGAATCACCACTCAGCTCTCACCATCATAACTTACCGACAATCATCACTCACCTCCCATCAACTCCACAGTCATCACTCACCTCCACCATCATCACCCACCATCTTCACTCACCTCCACCATCATCACCCAGCTCCAACCATCATCACCTCCCACCATCCTCACCCAGCTCCAACCATCCTCACCTCCACCATCACTCACCTCCACCACCATCACCACTCACCCATCACCACTCACCTCCCACCATCATCACTCACCCCCAACCATCACCACTCAGCCCTCACCATCACCACTCACCTCCAAACTATCACCATTCACTTCAAATCACCTCCCAAAGTCACCACTCACCTCCCAACCATATCAATCTCCCGCGATCATCATCAACTCTCCTCCCATCACCACCACCACCAACACCATCACCACCACCATCACCCAACCACCATCACCACCACCAACACCACCACCACCACCATCACCCACCACCATTACCACCATCACCACCACCACCATCATCACCACCCACCACCACCCATCACCACCCACCACCACCAATCACCACCATCACCACCACCACCACCACCCACCACCACCCACCACCACCACCCACCACCATCACCACCACCCACCATCACCACCATCACCACCACCACCACCATCACCACCCACCACCATCATCACCACCATCACCACCATCACCACCACCACCACCACTCACCATCACCACCATCACCACCCACCACCACCCACCACCATCTCCACCACCATCACCACCACCCACCCACCACCATCACCACCACCACTCACCATCACCACCACCACCATCACCACCACCATCTCCACCACCATCACCACCACCTCTCTACCTCAAGGGAGCACTCCCCTCCCTGCAACAGCTTCACGGACACGATCATGGCTCCGGGACTCTCTTGCGACGTCGGCTCCCCACGCTTCTTCTTCCCTTCCACCTGCCTCTCTACCCACCACCACCACCACTGCTTCACCTGCCTCTCTACCCACCACCACCACTGCTTCACCTGCGTCTCTGCTCACCACCACTGCTTCACCTGCCTCTCTACCCACCACCACCACTGCTTCACCTGCGTCTCTGCTCACCACCACTGCTTCACCTGCGTCTCGACCCACCACCACCACCACTGCTTCACCACATCACTCTTATCTCGCTTCTGCACCCCCCAGAGTCTGCGTACTAACAACGATGATGATGCTGCCGCTTCTCACGTCTCTCTGCTCGTTCTTTGCCGGGCGCCTGCTTCTAATCCCCTCTGCTGCTGCTGCTGATTCTCTTCCTGCTTCTCCCCCCCCCCCCTTCTCCGCAAACCCCTGCGAATGAGCTCTCTTCACTGCCTACTCCTGATTCTCTCTCTCCTGCTTCTCTCTCTGCTGCTTCACCTGCTTCTCCTCTCTCTCCTGCTGCTTCTCCCTCTGCTGCTTCTCTCTGCTGATGCTTATCGTGCCGCTTCTCCCTCTCTGCTGCTGCTTCTCTCTCCTCCTGCTTCTCTCTGCTGCTGCTTATCCCTCTCTCTCTCTCCTGCTGCTGCTGCTTCGGCTGCTTCTCTCTCTCTCTCCTGCTTATCCTCCTGCTGATTCTCCTCCTGCTGTTGCTTCTCCCTCTCTCCTGCTGCTGCTTCTCCTGCTTCTCTGATGCTGCTGCTTCTCCTGCTGCTGCTTCTCCTGCTGCTGCTTCTCCTGCTGCTGCTTCTCCTGCTGCTGCTTCTCCTGCTGCTGCTTCTCCTGCTGCTGCTTCTCCTGCTGCTTCTCCTCTCCTGCTGCTTCTCCTGCTGCTGCTTCTCCTGCTGCTGCTTCTCCTGCTTCTCCCTCTCCTGCTTCTCCTGCTGCTGCTTCTCCTGCTGGTGCTGCTGCTGCTTCTCCCTCCCTCTGCTGCTTCTCCCTCTCCTGCTTCTCCTGCTGGTGCTTCTCCTGCTGCTGCTGCTTCTCCTGCTGCTGCTTCTCCTGCTTCTCCCTCCTGCTGCTGCTTCCGCCGGCGTCGCTGCTCAGCACGGGAGCGCCGGGTTAAGGTTCAGGGACCGCTGCAAAACACGCGACCACCCCCTCACCCATTACCCACATGGAGGTTAAGGGTCCGCGATAAACTACGCACCCCAGCCCCGGGAGAAAAACTCCGCGGCTCGAAGTTCAAAAAGTGCTCAGGACGTGAGCTCCATATTTATAGATGTTTATAGATATTGATTGATATTTATTAGACGATAAGCTCCAGCCCTGGGAGATAAACACCGCGGCTATCTCAGGTTGTATTCGCGAGCACATCCCCTGACCCAAACCTACTCTATTATAGACAATTTAAATTTGCGTGGGTTTCCTCCAACCAACTCGTTTATTAATGTGGCTGGTTTCTGATCGGCCTTCGCTTTTCCCTCGCTGCTTCTAACTAAACTGTTTTTTAAAAAAATAAAAAATGTAAGCTAAGGCTCACTGAGCTACGTAGCTCTTTTTTTTCAGAAGCGACCTGGCCACAAAACGATGGCACAACGAAAAGTGGCTTTGTCGTGGGATAAATATACAGCAGCCAAATACTCTGATCACGTTGATTATTAATAATGTGTAGAGGTAGAGAGATAGAGAGAGACACCGCAAACTCCACATATACAGCAGCGGGTGTCAGGGTCGGGATGGAGCCCCCCACGACCTCCCTGCTGCTACACCAGGCGAGGTGGTTGACTTCTCGGTTTTGTGTTTGTTCGTCTCTCTAGGTTGCAGGCAACGTGCCCGGGGCAACAACTGTGGCAGCAGCAACAACAACAACTGTGGCAGCAACAACAACTGTAGCAGCAACAACAACAACTGTGGCAGCAACAACAACAACAACTGTGGCAGCAACAACAACAACTAGCAGCAACAACAACTGTGGCAGCAACAACAATAACAACTGTGGCAGCAGCAACAACAACTGTGGCAGCAGCAACAACAACTACTGTGGCAGCAACAACTGTGGCAGCAACAACAACAACAGCAGCAACAACAACAGCAGCAACAACAACAACAGCAGCAGCAGCATTGACATCGGCTATACAAGCACCACCAGCCGGATCATCGGGTTCATGGAGCCAGATCGGGACACGTTGCCTCTGAAGGTGAGACACACTGAGACCAGGTGAGTCTATGGACCCCATGTGAGTCTGTAGACCAGTGTTCTTCACTCATTTTCACTGTAGACCAGGTGAGTCTATGGGCCCCAGGTGAGTCTGTAGACCAGTGTTCTTCACTCATCTTCACTGTAGACCAAGTGAGTCTATGGGCCCCAGGTGAGTCTGTAGACCAGTGTTCTTCACTCATCTTCACTGTAGACCAGGTGAGTCTATGGGCCCCAGGTGAGTCTGTAGACCAGTGCTCTTCACTCATCTTCACTGTAGACCAGGTGAGTCTATGGGCCCCAGGTGAGTCTGTAGACCAGGTGAGTCTATGGGCCCCATGTGAATCTGTAGACCAGTGCTCTTCATTCATCTTCACTGTAGACCAGGTGAGTCTATGGGCCCCAGGTGGGTCTGTAGACCAGTGTCCTTCACTCATCTTCACTGTAGACCAGGTGAGTCTAGACCAGTGCTCTTCACTCATCTTCACTATAGACCAGGTGAGTCTATGGGCCCCAGGTGAGTCTGTAGACCAGTGTTCTTTACTCATCTTCACTGTAGACCAGGTGAGTCTATGGGCCCCAGGTGGGTCTGTAGACCAGTGTTCTTCACTCATCTTCACTGTAGACCAGGTGAGTCTATGGACACCAGGTGAGTCTGTAGACCAGTGTCCTTCACTCATCTTCACTGTAGACCAGGTGAGTCTATGGGCCCCAGGTGAGTCTGTAGACCAGTGTTCTTTACTCATCTTCACTGTAGACCAGGTGAGTCTATGGGCCCCAGGTGGGTCTGTAGACCAGTACTCTTCACTCATCTTCACTGTAGACCAGGTGAGTCTATGGGCCCCAGGTGAGTCTGTAGACCAGTGTTCTTCACTCATTCACTGTAGACCAGGTGAGTCTATGGACACCAGGTGAGTCTAGACCAGTGTTCTTCACTCATCTTCACTGTAGACCAGGTGAGTCTACGGACCCCAGGTGAGTCTGTAAACCAGTGCTCTTCACTCATTTTCAGAGTGAGGGCCGCCACATATTTGAAACCATTGGGGTTTGACAGCAGCACGATGATGATGATGGGGGCTATTTTCACATTTGTGTATTGTCGGGGGCCGCACTAAAGGCCCGCGGACCTTGCAATGAAGAACACTGCTGCAAAAGGGAAACGTGCTCCACTAGGTGGAGGGGAAACCCTTAAAAGTAGAATTCTACAATGTCCCCTTCGGGTTTGTGGAACACCTTACATTTAAGTATGTAGGGTGGAGAAGCCCCATACCTGATGTATGTGTATGTATGTTGAGCTTTCGCACCGTACGGAGCCAACCGTGCTAATTGGAGGTGCGGGGGAAGGACAACAAACTAAACACACACCTGTCAACCCATATGCTTTACCCGTATTCTTGTAGAGGGAAATTGAGTTTGCAGGTCGATACGGCGTACAGCCGTTTCAATATGGGCACATTTGTTTTGTCTATTTGTTTGTGTTTCTCCCTTGTGATGGGACTTTGTAGGATGAACGTTCTGATTTATAAGGGCACGTGGTGACCTATGAGGTCTGAATTGGTCTGTAATAAGGTAGGCACTGATAAGGGGTTGACAGGTATGCACCCACACGCACAATAAAACTGTTCTAAATAGATGAGTTTTCAATCGAGTTTTAAGTGACGAGTGCGACTAAGATACTTTCATCGATGGATAAGCCAGTTTAAGTCGGTGTCTCGGGACTGTGTGTCAGAGTGATCGAAGTGTGCGTGCCGCATGCAATGAAGTCGCTCCTGCTGCTGTGTGTGCGTGACACGGAGCAGTTGCGCTTTTGTTCCTGCAGTCCGGCCCGTACGTGGTGCTGGCCGAGGTGCGACCCGTGACGAGGTGGACGACGAGGTGGAGCTGTCTCCCACGTCCATACAAGCAGGTGCCTCGCACGGTGGAGCTGATCCCAGCGTTCCAGCAACCTGACTGCCCGTGTCCTTTTTGTGTGCCTGTGTAAGGCTTCATTGTTTGAACGTTAGTTTAACACGTAGTAGGAGGCTTTCACGAGCAATGTTATCCACAAGAGTTTTTTTTGGGTTAGATTGCGTAAATGTAAATGTGTCGTTAAACCAGCGCACCACCCGACACAGCCAATTAGTAAGTTTTGTCACGTAAATAAAACATGCCAATTAGTTACTACTTCTACTGTGTTGGACAGTTCCCAATTGTGCTCCGGTTGTGTTGTTGGCGTCATGCCGTGAAGTTGTAGAAATAAACGTCGATTCGGAACTCCAGCTACAAGCCGTGTCGACAATGTGCTGGTTCTGGTCCCCTGCTGCACCAATCTGCCCTCACCAGCCGAGTGAAGTTTGGTTGAACAACCCCCATAAAACGTGGCATGGGGAGGCCTTCGCCCAGGAGTGAGGGTTGATGTTTTTTGTAGTTTGACACGTATGTATACATTTGTAATGCGGGCGTAAATGGGCGGGGCGGATATGACGATCCGAGAGGGAGGAGTCAGGGTGACGTGGGGGAGAAGTTATAGCGGGGAGACAGGAAGCTATCTGGGTCAGTCGGGGGAGTGAAGGGTGGTGAACACGTTGGGTGGTCGCCGTGCCTCAGCCTGGTGGCTGAGGGGCTCATGACGGCGCCAGCCAGCGGGGTGGAAGAGAGAGTGGAGGATTGAGGTAGGAAATGGCGAGATAGCCATAGAGGCCACGAAGGGCTGACATTGGGAGGTGGCGAGATCGCCACGCACGGAGGAACAGGGAGCAGAGATGGAGCTGCTGGGGGAGCAGCCAGAGGGCTGTACCAAGAGCCTGCAGCGGAGCTGCAGGAGCGTGGAAGGCTACGGGAGCGAAGGCAGATGTGGGGCTGCCAGGGAGAGAGTCTCAGGAGGAGTGCCGTGTGGGAAGGAGAACGCGAACCCCAAATAAAGGACACGGAGTCAGCAAGAAGTGTTCGAGTCCTTTTATTACACTGGAGTCAGAAGTGAAACGGCATCTCAAAACAACTGAGAGAAAGAAGAAAAAAAAAATATTCCTGCTACATCATCCGACGACGACGACCTTCCTCAGACAGTGGACCTGCCTGCGATGGAAGAGGAGATCCGTTCTGGAACGAGTACGGGTCCGGGTGAGCAAGGTGTCGCCGCGTCGGTGGACCTGTCTGTGCCGGAGGATGCCAACTTACGATGGAGACAGATGGTGATGCAGATGGGGACCTTGAAAATCGTGCTGGCGCGACTGTGTGAGTTCACCACGCCGAGGACGACGTCGGGGAGGCCCGGTGGTGATCCGTAGGCCTCTGCCTTTCCTGAGCTGCCAGCGCCATCTGCCACGTGGCACGAAGACGCCATCTTGGGCGTGGCAGGGGAGAAACGGCGGGAAGCCGCCATCTTGTCTTCACCGCGGCGGGAGGACGCCGCCATCTTCAACATCGCGGCGGAGAGGCAGCCTTGCGCTGCCATCTGGAGGTGCCGCGGGGTGAGCAGCCTGCTGTGAGCTGCTGTTTTTCGAGGGGGTGCTGCGAGGAGAAGACGCCGATGCTGCAGCTGCTGGGGCGGGAGCTTCCCGTCCTGGCTCGGGTGCGTGACAACGGAGCCGTCAAGTCGCCGAACGAGTTCTGCGAGGCGTCTCAAGTTGCCACCCTGCCGTCCTCTTCTTGCTGCAGCCCCGGGCGAGTCATAACGATACGCACCCGGCCTTAACACACACCTCACTCATCTTTCGAGGGCCGGGGGGGGGCTATTTTGGTTTTCTCTTATGACTCGATTGTGCGGAGCGCGGTTCGGACTGTGTGTATATGTGTGTAATAACGATGAACGCGCTATCTGCTTGTTGCTTGGTGTCAATATAAGTGTGTGCGTGTGTTGAGAATGGACGGAGAGTCTGCTGTATTTGCTGAGTGTCAAATTGTGTGTGTGCGCTGCTGCGTGGAGTTGTTATCTTGATGGTGAAGTTAATTATTAACTTGGGAGCGTCGGGTATCTTGCGCTGTATTATTTGTGGGTTACCTTGTGTGATGGGCTTAATTGAAAAAAAATATATATATTTTTTTTGGTGTATTGTGCTGCGAGGTGCTGTGTGCGATGCGATTGTTGCAAGAGAGAGAATAATTGTGTTGTTGCTGCAAAGTTACGACAGGATTAATGGTGTGTTGGTTGCCTGCAGATCTGCTTGCTATTGTGCTTAAATGTACGCGTGTGATCGCGATATGCTGATTGCATGTGCTGTTATACCGTTCTGTATGGTTATGGGGTGCGATGCAGTGGTTGACTATTGGAATTGAGATTGTTATTATATTGTGCGTACTTGTTGGAAATTGGTAACAAATTGGAGGGGGACCCAAAAATTTGGTTGTATGGGTGTTGTGCACACGAGATTGCGTGTATATTATAGGGGTAATTGAGCTTTTTGAAAATGAGAGTGCGCGATGACGCCGTTGTGGGTGGCTTAGATGTTAATGCTAATGGGATCGTAAATGGGCGCCAAGTGGCGTCGTGTATTGGTTGATTGCATGCAGCCACGAGTTGCTTTGCGAGTTGGGTTGTGTAACTAATGTGGTTGGTAAAATATTGGTTAAAAATTCCCCGATATGACTGCTGTGCGCAGCAAGCTGGGGCTGTGCGTCTATCGTTGGTGGGGTTGTTATAATGTGACGGGAGATGCGTCTTGTGACCCCCAGCTAAGGGAAGCTGGGGTGCACGAATGGAGAAAACTGGCCACGTGTTCGCACGTTGGGCCGCCATTTTGCGCGCACGCGGGGTATGGCGACGATGCGCTTTGCGGAAAGGGCCGCCATTTTGAGTGCGCGCGAGAGATTGCGCGAACGCGCTGGGCGAAGGGGGACGCCATTTTGAGCGCGCGGGAAAAACCGGGGTGGGGCAAATATTCCATCTGTTATGCCTGCCATTGTTGATTGGGTGATGCACGAGTTGTGGTCACATCGGGCTATGGCTGATGGCTGACCTGACAGCCCGGAGGCGAAACCTCCGTGGTATGTCTTAAACTAATGGGCCATGTGCTCATATGGCTCGGGGAGTCATGGTTCAGTTGTGCGGTGGCAGACTGAACCTGGTGTGCCGGGGGCTCACGGGATCTGGGTTAGGGTGTTATTGTCTCTATAAGAGAACATTGCCCCGTGGGGGGAGTACAGGGGGTCTGGCATTGCTGGGGGATGAACCTTCCCTGGGCTATAAAGCATCGGACTATACGAGGCTGGTGTGTGTCCATCTCTGATGGGATAGTAAGGGAGGAGCGTGGCCGAGTTGCTGCTCATCCCCGAAATTGCACTAGCTGAGAGTATGGTCAGTGGATGTTGCTGTGGGTTGACGACCACGGTGGGGGTTAGGGCGAGTTAAACATTACCGCTGGGGAGCGTGGCTCTCTCCACGCGAGGGTGTGCGATTAGGCGTTTTGTTGGGTTGCTGAGAGTGACCGTGGGTACATGCTGTGTACGTGCGATGTCTGTGCTGGTCCTCAAGGGAGGACTGCTGGTGGGTAAGAGCAGAAAATTTTGTTGTTGTTGTTGTCACGTGTAAATAATATTGTTGTTAAAATGTAAATACTGGGGCATCCATTGCGTTATTTTGGGTATTTATGGGGAGTTTTTTTTAAGCGGGCTGGATTTACATTATCTCCACTACCCTGAGGCCGGGTGGCTGTCGTGTACGACATGCGGATGTGCGTTGTTGTGCTGTGCCTCAGGGGATTGGATTCTCCTTCTCGTCACAGATTCTTCAGCTCCCGTCGCACTGGGTGTTACCTGGTGTGCTAGCTGGATGAGGACTTGAAGGAGCAATTGAGCACCGTTCGTCGTTCTGCTCTACCACTTGCTCTTTGACGTTGGACTTGAGCCGAGCGGATGGAACTGCAACATGGACACGCACTAAAACATCACATTTCTGGGTTGTGCGCGTTGGCCGTTCTTGCGTGTCAGTTGCCGTTTTTGTTCATTGTGCCATTCTTATTCTTGTTGTTGTTGTGCGGAGGACAGGCCGGTGTTCTGTTCCAGTTCCTGATACCTCCCCTTTCGTTGCTTGTGTTGTTGTTGTTATAACCTCCGTTGTGTCTGGGGGACTCCTGATTGTGATGCCTTCGCCCGCATTATTTTGTTCTGTTTCAGCCGAGGACGGCTGGGATTTTCTCTACGGGGGAGGGTAGTGTAATGCGGGCGTAAATGGGCGGGGCGGATATGACGATCCGAGAGGGAGGAGTCAGGGTGACGTGGGGGAGAAGTTATAGCGGGGAGACAGGAAGCTATCTGGGTCAGTCGGGGGAGTGAAGGGTGGTGAACACGTTGGGTGGTCGCCGTGCCTCAGCCTGGTGGCTGAGGGGCTCATGACGGCGCCAGCCAGCGGGGTGGAAGAGAGAGTGGAGGATTGAGGTAGGAAATGGCGAGATAGCCATAGAGGCCACGAAGGGCTGACATTGGGAGGTGGCGAGATCGCCACGCACGGAGGAACAGGGAGCAGAGATGGAGCTGCTGGGGGAGCAGCCAGAGGGCTGTACCAAGAGCCTGCAGCGGAGCTGCAGGAGCGTGGAAGGCTACGGGAGCGAAGGCAGATGTGGGGCTGCCAGGGAGAGAGTCTCAGGAGGAGTGCCGTGTGGGAAGGAGAACGCGAACCCCAAATAAAGGACACGGAGTCAGCAAGAAGTGTCTGAGTCCTTTTTATTACACATTGTATTCCTCAGTGCTGCTCTCAGCTGAATCTTACAACCACATTAAAAAAAAAAATATTTACACACTGATTTGTGACCGGGCTAAGACAACAACAAAAAAGTTCCTACACTATGGGGACCTCATTTGCCAGTAAAAATATGATAATTGGTTCTTTACCCTTCTATCTGGCAACAAAACTGACACCTTTTTGCAAGGAGTCATGTTTGCATAGACCGCAATACCTGCAGTCATAATACAAACAAAAGAACATAACTCTGATAATGTGCACTGTCCTTGAAGTTGAGACTAGGCTCGAAGGAAAGCTGTCTCGGGTGTGGACCAATCAACTTCAAGGACAGTGCACATTATCAGAGTTATGTTCTTTTGTTTGTATTATGACTGCAGGTATTGCGGTCTATGCAAACATGACTCCTTGCAAAAAGGTGTCAGTTTTGTTGCCAGATAGAAGGGTAAAGAACCAATTATCAACAAAAAAGTTCCACGCTTGGTTTAACCGTTGGGGTGGCTGTAACCCAGATTCAAACTCAGGATCCAAGCTCAGGTGTCGGCTTAGTGGCTGCAGCATGTCGATCGCGAGCCTCGTGTGTCCGTACCGTCCCTCGCTCGATTGCGCAGGAGGTGCTGTCGCTGCTGAGCGACGTGGTGGAGCAACGCGTCAACTCCTACTTGCAACTGAGGAGACAGCGCAAGCCCATGCAGTCCAAGCAGATGAAGGAGCTGGCGCACAGCAAGCCGGTGACCAATGCAGGTGCCCTGCTCACTGCTCACCATGGGCTGCACACTGTGGACTTGGGCACACGATTCCCTTCTTGATTAATTGGGAAGTTAATCAATTTTTTCGATAAATAAACAGCAAGTTCTGGAATTTCTCATGTTAATCCAGTTGCATTTTAGTCACGATCACCTCTGGTTAGCACGTTTGGCTACATGAGGTTCAAAATAAGTTCTACATAATAATACGTGAGAAAAGTTCAAACCGCACGGTGGATTTCAATGTAAGAAGCCATTACATACAGATTGTATGTTTAAAACGGACAGCCCTTTGCAAGTTCCAAGAGCAAAAATCCACACGTAAAAGGGAACAATATTTATTGGCTAGATTTTTCCCAATCCTGGGCAGCTGACTCAAAAACTTGATAACCCATTTGTCGTGCGCCCCTGTCCTGTTGCGGTCCAGTGGGTTTGGGAGTTTCACAATTCTACGTGGGCCATCAACAATTGCATTTTGTTTAGAACGGTCGTCAAGAGACGACAATGCGCACAACGCGATAAAGAAAGACGAGCAATATGTATAGAGAGTAAGACGAGACGGGTGGAATAATCAGAGAAACATCAAAAGGGCACGGGAAGGCAAAAGTGCAATGATGAGACAGAGGGGCACAAGAGGCAGACAGGGCTGGATCCTGTCCCAAAACCACCCTGGTGCCTGCTATAGTTGGAGTTTGCATGTTCTCCTTACGGTCACGTCGATGTTTCTCCGTGTTTGTACACAAAGCCATCCAAATATACAAACACAGACATAATTTCAACCGTGATGATGGGTACAAACTGAATAATCATTGGAAAGATGTTATTAACCATGCAAAAAAGATTTAACTACACATTTTTGGACCATCTTATTTGACAGGTACTATTCTACTTTACCGAGTGTTAACATCCCCAGCGTTTAACAGTATTCTCCTTTTATGTATTTGGATTGTCAACCAACACTGGGTTAAACAACATGTGCTTTGTCGTTCTCTTCTAGCATGTGCACCCTTAGCATGTGCACCCTTAGCATGTGCACCTTTAGCATGTGCACCTTTAGCATGTGCACCTTTAGCATGTGCACCTTTAGCATGTGCACCTTTAGCATGTGCATTTGTTCTCTTTTAGCCCCGCCCCCCCCCCCCAACACGTTCCATTCATTGGCTTCCACATTCAGATAAGCCCCCCCCCTCCTCCCCCCTTAACTTGTATTTCAGGGCTTGACTCTTGGAATTTTTTTGCCTCACTTGAGACAGTAAATCTGGCTGTGACGGTCCCACCTGATGACGGAGACTTGTGTTGCCTCCAAAACGTCGTGATTTATTATTTTATTTGTATTATTACTTTTATTAATTTTAATTTAATTATTTTTTACCTACGTGACTTTACCGAAAAACCTAAGAGTATGAATCCTTGCAGTCACGAAAGCTTCAAATCTAAAATTTCTCCGTGTCCTCCGGTTTTTCCCTCCACATTTCGAAACATGCGTTTCAGAGTATTTGGCTGATGTAAATTCCCACATAAGCCGCTTCATTGAGCTGCCATTTGTGGCCAGGTCGCTTCTGAAAACAGCTGCATAGCTTGGTGGGCCTTGCCTAATAAAATAAATAGTTTAGCTTAGTTCACACACACCAGTGTTTTGACACTTGATTTTCCTCCAGGGAAGTACGTGGAGGTGGAGACGTACTTCAGAAAGAGGCACGTTGGTCTGCGCTGTCTGAGCGGGCGGTTCTCTGGTGGGTAACTTTGACTCGTTTGAAATGTAAACAAGAAAACTTTGTCTTCTTGGTTCTTTCAGTAAAGTCACGTAGAATGGAAATAATAAAATAATAAAAATAAAACATAATCAAATAATTCTCACGACGTTTCGGCCACAACGCAAGCAGCCGTCTTCAGGTGGAGAAACAGATCTGTCAAGTAGACAGAGTCGCTCCAAACCTGGGGCTTGTCATTCAGACTCTGTCTCCTCGACAGACCTGTTCTCCACCTGAGGACGGCTACTTGCATAGAAAACTTTGACTCGCTCGGATGTAAACAAGAAAACATGATCCCTGAATGGAGCACTAAAAAACTCAGCAATTCCATAAAATGTGAATATTTATGTTTCATGTACATTGTAAAGTAAGCAAGTTACAATTTGAATCAAAGTATCAACCATATCTCGAGACACTATTCAGCCTTTATTCTAAAAAGACACTTTTTAGTGTGGCTCTCACTTGGTGGTTTTTCACATGAAACAAGTTCCATGCTATCAACTGTTAAGCATTCCAGATTAGTGTCAGTGTTTCTCCTGTGTGTCGTTGTGTCTCCTGAGTGTCTCCTGTGTGTCTCTGTGTTTCCTGTGTGTCTCATAGAGCGCTCGTATGTGAAGATGCCCATATTCCCAGAACAGCTTATCGTGTGCGTGAATGCTGTTTGCGAAGCACCACCACCACCCCCACCACCGCTACCCCCACATCCTCCAGCTGCTCCAACTCCAGTGGCCCCACTGCTCCGTCCAGAAGTGAGTTGCCTCCACACATATGTCACAGAAGAGCCCCCAACTCTCGCGTTTGCATTGGAAGAATTTGAGGACTCCATTGAGCAGCCACAAAAGACCAACGACCGATATACGTATGGTTCATCTGCATCCCGTCTGGACCAGGTAGATGGTTTGAACTAAAGCGGAGCGTTCAATGAAGTGTAGCCCACGTCATCAGGGGTGGCGAAATGTTAACTACCTCACCTGATATGCAGGAGGTCGTAGGTTCGATCCCGACCCTGATGCCTGCTGTATATTTGGAGTTTGCATGTTCTGCCCGTGGTCGCGTGGAATTTTTTCTCCAGGTTCTCCGGATTTTCCCTCCACAATTAGACACGTGCGTTGAGAGTATTTGGCTCGTTTAAATTTCCACGCGATAAGCCACTTCGTTGAGCTATCATTTGTGGCCAGGTCGCTTCTGGTAAAATAAAAAAATGGTTTAGTTCTTCAATTTATATGATTCCTTTGCTTACTAACACAATGCTAATTATGAAAAGTGAGCTCCTCTTATCAACGACTTATTGTGCACAGATGTATTCTTCCTATAATCCGCGCTTTCCTGTCCCATCAGGGTGGGGATGCGAGGTGTGGGGACCGTGCCCTCTCCGAGTACTTTAACTGTCCGGCAGTGCGTCAAGCTGACGCCAAGGCGCTGCTCACCGCCTCTGCTCAGCGCCGGCAGGCCAAACTCAAGCACATGTGAGCTTGGGTTCTGCACACACACACAGGGCCTCGGTGCTGTGTTGTCTTGGTGTGGTCTGGGACTGTTTTTGCTGTTGTTTTGCTGCCTTGACGAAGCTTGGAAATTGGTGTACTTATCCAATTTGAGCTTATATACTTTATTTTATCATTCTGATGTACCCCACATTTCTACGTATTTTATAATTTCTCGGGGGATGGTAATCTGAGTCTCGACCAAAGACCAGGAATTGAAGTTTTTTTTATTGAAAATCTAGCGCTCTAACCTCAGTCACTCGGCTGGATGATCTAATGGATACATGCATAGGTTACTTCATTATGAAGTTCAGACAATTTTAAACACTATTTTGTGAATTCGTTCGCGCAGAGTCAAGAAGATCGGGCACAGGAAGGGAAAAGATCGAAAACCACCATCTCATCACACCGGGACCGCCACGAGAGCAGAACCGGCGCAGTATACCTCCTCGGACAGCCCTCGGATATCCCTCACGAGGGCACGGAGGCTCGAGGAGATGAAGGAAAACGACGCGAGCTCTGGCCGGCAGTGGGAGGGGAGCGTGAGGACAGAGGCTCGCGTGGGCGGAGGCGGTGACGCGCCACGCGCAGTCGAGGTGGAGGAGAGAGCCATGGGGGTCACTCTCCGTGGCCGCGAGGCCTCCGTTTGCCAAGCGGAGGCGCCGGCCACCGCTGCTGCTGCTGCTGCTCCTCCACCGAGGACTTCCAGGGGCCGCACAAAGCTGTCGCGGAAACGGCAGCAGCCGCCCACGCTGGAAGTGGATGCAGCAAAAAGTCGTACTGCCGAGTAATCAGCGTGAAAAGAATCGTTGATTAAAATCAATTCTTAGGCTTCATGTGCAGCCGTGCTTGTTGGAATCGATTATTTACAATGTATGGAAATGCCATGCAAATTTTACCTGTGGTGGCAGCGATTTTAGCGTTATAGAATTGTAAATGATTGATGTGACACAAAAATTACACTTTTTTAATATAAAATGTTCTAGTTCGGTGTGTGTGTGAATGTGTGAGCTGTATATCTTTTTTTACCGAGTAAAATTACAACTCTCTTGCAAATGGAACTTCTGCCATCTTCCAGAATAAAATAAAGCATTGGTTGTAACTGACAGGATCATGAAGGACTGGATAAAGAATTGTTGCTGAGCATTTTCTCACAATGTTGGTTTAAGCTCCAGGATATCAAGTTTTGTAAAATAACATTAAAGTAATTCTCTTTGGTTCCTTCGGTAAAGTCACGTCGGTAGAAATAAAATAAATCGCGACGTTTCGGGCGCTTGTGTTGCGTTCGAAACGTGATTTATCTGATTTATTTCTACCTACGTGACTTTACTGAAATAACCAAAGAGTATGGATTCCTGCAGTCACGAAAGCTTCAAATCAACATTAAAATCACTTATTAAATACCAATCATTATTTAAGAAGCAGAAATGGTAAACTAAAAGTAGAAGTTAGAATAAATCAGCTGCAAAGTGTGCAACAGTTGTCGGGATCTGGCAGGATGGGAGCGATCAAAAGGTGTGGTAGTAACAGCATTTGCTGTGACGACCTCCCAGCTCTGATAAATTAGTTTAATAGTAAACTCCTTGACGTTTTATACGTGTTTCGTCTGATGTGCACACTCGTTTTCTATATTTCCTGAGAAGCCTCGTTCCTTGATTGTACCATCATAAAGTATTTGTGTTATTAAAAGGAAAATATTTTTAAGTGAAATTTTCAAAGCTCTGCTTTGTTGTCAACGTCGGTTCCTCCACATTGCGGACTGCCTGTTTTTCCTACGGTAGCTGTCATCGTGTTCCTCGCAGCCTTGAACACCATTCTCTGACCAACTTGCACGACCAAGGCGTCCAAGACCACGAGGCAGCCACCCCTCGTCCGTGTTCCAGCCTGATACGGATTGCTCGCCGATGAAAATCAGGTGGAGGTAAGATCAATTAGAAAAATGGTTGCCGGTTGTTGTCTAACAAAGCCAACTCCACTACCATCCCAATTACTACAGAAACTATTAACGCCACCATTGCCACCAACAACGCCACTTTTTTTTACCATCAAAGCCAGTTTTCACCATAAACGCCACTGTTTTCACCATCAAAGCCACTGTTTTCACCATCAACGCCACTTTTCACCATCAAAGCCACTGTTTTCACCATCAAAACCACTGTTTTCACCATCAACGCCACTTTTTCACCATCAAAGCCACTGTTTTCACCATGAAAGCCACTGTTCACCAACAACGGCCATCACCTTCACCACCACTGCCATTGTCACTACTATCACCACCAATGCCACGACCATTTATATCAACAAAGATCCGCCGTGTAGCCTGAACAGACTGATGGGGCAAGTGCTGTTAGCGAGCACCTATGAAGGCTGGAACGGCACACGAGGGGGTGGGTGGCCAGCACCACGCCCGGCCGCCTTTGTCTCCCTAGTGGCGATGTTTACAAACCAGGTACTCATTTGAGGCTGAGTCTACCTAAGGGATGCCCAGGACTGGTTCAGATAATCGTCACCGTGGTGTTGGCCGTTAGCAGGAATGGAACTCTGTTCTGCAGGTTCGTAGGGCAGCGCGCTAACCACTGCACCACCGCTCCCCAAATGAGTTCACTACAACACACACACACCAAATTGTATGACAGACTGCAATATTAATCCAACGAGTTATACTTTACCCATGAACATTCCACTATGCTATACAACATCGTACAATACACTTAATGAAATGTGAACGTGCACACACATACACACGTACTAACAAGATATAGACACACATACGAGTACACAAAACGCGTATGCTAATTAACAAGAAAGTAAAAAAAACGTTAAAACTTAAGAATTAAAAAAATACCGTATACAATCGTTAAAAGCTAAGAATAAAATACAAAAATGATTAAAGACTGATCATTTTATTACGGTAATCTTAAAAAAAACTTGCATAACAATGTTATGTAACATAACAACGTTATGTAACAAACAAAATGTTACATAACAAAACCATGTAGACAAACCCACGCATACAATCACAATTTAACAATTGTGAAATTATAACAAATGCATCATAAATATAAAACTAAAGAGCTTAGAGGCCGATCTTGACACTGCTGGTAACCACGGCAAGTCCACTCAGCTGTTTGTTGCTGTTGTTGTGGCTGTTGTTGTTGTTGCTGTTGTTGTTGCTGTTGTTGTTGTGGCTGTTGTTGTTGATATGGCTTTTGTTGTTGTTGTGGCTTTTGTTGTTGTTGTGGCTGTTGTTGTTGTTGCTGTGGCTGTTGTTGTGGCTGTTGTTGTTGCTGTTGTTGTGGCTATTGTTGTTGTGGCTGTTGTTGTTGTGGCTGTTGTTGTTGTTGCTGTGGCAGTTGTTGTGGCTGTTATTGTGGCTGTTGTTGCTGTTGTGGCTGTTGTTGTTGCTATTGCTGTGACTGTTTCTGTGGCTGTGGTTGTTGTTGTTGTTGTGGCTGTTGTTGTGGTTGTTGTTGTTGCTGTGGTTGTTGCTGTGGTTGTTGCTGTTGTGGTTGTTGTTATTGTGGCTGTTGTTGTTGTGGCTGTTGTTGTTTTGGTTGTTGTTGTTGTGGCTGTTGTTGTTGCTGTGGCTGTTGTTGCTGTTGTTGTTGCTGTGGTTGTTGTTGTGTCTGTGGTTGTTGCTGTGGTTGTTGTTGTGTCTGTGGTTGTTGCTGTGGTTGTTGCTTGCTACGAAGACTTTCAGTGGAAGCCCCCCCAGTGGGAGCGAGGTCTCTCATTGCCTTCTGCTGCTGCTCCCACAGTCTGGGCCCCACCGCCTACCCCTCGTGCTGTCGACGCCCTGCCACGCTGTGTGTTGAACTTCTTTCGCACCGTACGTCGCCAATCGGAGGCGCGGGGAAGGGTCAACAATTGAGTCGTCGTTTGATGTAAAGCTTTCGTGACTGCAGGGATTCATATTCTTGGTTGTTTCGGTAAAGTCACGTAGAAGGGAAACAATAAAATAATAAAAATATAAAACAATAAAAATATATAATAATAAAAGTATAAAAATATATAAATATTTTAATAGTTTTATTGTTTAATATAGAAGAAGGGAAATAATAAAATAATAAAAATATAAAACGATAACAATAATTTTATATTTTTATTGTTTTATATTTGTATTATTTTATATCTGTATTGTTTTGTATTTTTTATTGTTTTATCTTTTCATTATTTTATAATTTCCCTTCTACGTGACTTTACCGAAAGAATCACGAATATGATTTGAAGCATGTTTTATTTTGTGGGGGGTGGGTGCAGAGCCTTGTGACGTCATATTTGAGGGGGGGGGTCTGACTTTTTGTGACGCCGTGTGACGAATGGGGGGGGGGGGTAAAAAATTGTCCAAAATCGCGTGACGTCATTTATGGATGGCCCCTAATGAACCCAAATAAAATACTTCCGTATTATTAGATGAAAACATTGTTAAGTTGTATGTGTATATGTTTAAGTGATTCGTTTACCTTTCCTACACTTCGCCTGTTGTTGTGACGTTCTGACCCGCCCCTACCAAGACGTCTGTGACAAAGAGCTTCATAGCTCTTCGGATTTCTGCTGCCACCTGCCGCAATTCGCCGCAGTCCCTTGCCCCTATCCCACACCACCCCATCCCCCCGCCCCTGAGAGGCCCCACCCCCTCAACACGAAGCCCCGCCCCCCTGTATAAAGCCCCGCCCCTCAGCAGGAAGCCCCGCCCCCTCAGCAGGAAGCCCCCCCCCCTCGACAAGAAGCCCCGCCCCCTCACCAAGAAGCCCCCCCTCAGCAGGAAGCCCCGCCCCTCAGCAGGAAGCCCCGCCTCTCCGCAGGAAGCCCCGCCCCTCAGCAGGAAAGCCCGCCCCCTCAACAGGAAGCCCCCCTCAGCTGGAAGCCCCGCCCCCTCAGCAGGAAGCCCCGCCCCCTCAACAGGAAGCCCCGCCTCTCAGCAGGAAGCCCCGCCCCTCAGCAGTAAGCCCCGCCCCTCCACAGGAAGCCCCGCCCCTCCGCAGGAAGCCCCGCCTCCTCAGCAGGAAGCCCCGCCCCCTCTCGAGAGCCAAGCTCCTCCCCTCGCCGCGAGTCTCCACCCAGTGCCCCTTGACCCGGGAGGCAGAAATCTCCGGCTGGAGTGGAGCAGCAGTAGCAGGAGCAGCAGGAGGAGGAGTTGGCGACGATGTTGACGCTGGCGCAGAAGAAGAAGCGGGACAGCAGTGGCGGTGGCGGCGCCGGGACCCGCAGCAGCAGCGGCGGTGGCGGCGTGGGGGGGAACCCGGCCTCGGTGGGAGAGGGAGGCGGCGGCGGCGGCGGCAGGCGGGTGTCGGTGCGGGACAAGCTGCTGCTCAAGGGTGGGTGGGTTGGTAGTCGTCGTCGGTGGGTGGTGGTGGTGGGTGGTGGTTGTTGGTGGGTGGTGATGATGGGTGACGATGGTGGATTGGTGGTCGTTGGCAAGGTGGTGGTGGTGGTGATGGTGATGGGTGATTAGTGGTCATGGGTGGGTGGTTGTGACGGTGGTTGGTGGTGGTGGGTGGGGGACTGGGTCTCAGGGATATCGAGATCAGGGAGACCAGGGAGACCGAGTCCCAGGCGAGGAGAGGAACCAGGTCTCATGTCAGATCCCAAGGAGAGGAATCAGGACCTGTGGCCAGGGAGATCTCAGGGCCCAAGGAGAGGAATCAGGTCCGGCTGAGATCGTTGAGATCCCAGGGAGGGAAGGAGAGTGACACGATCTCAGGGAGAGAGACCAGATCCCAGTGGGAGAGGGAGACCAGATCCCATGAAGAAACAGATCAGGTTCCAGGCAGAGTCAATATCTCGCAAAGAGACCAGATCCTACACAATTCTGGCAAATCGCCCGATGAAGTTGGTTGTAATCGCCAGCGAAACATCGTACTCAAATTGTAAATGTTGTGGATTTACTCTCCATCACACCGATGTGCTAAATTCGTAGCTAATTGGCATTTTTTTTCCACGTGACAACCCTGACTAATTGGCTGTGTCGGGTGGTGGTGTGTTAACGACACATTTCTATTATTGACGCGATCTAACCACAAAAGTTTTTTATGAAGGAGAATAGGTCTCAAGAAAGAGTCCCAAGGAGAAGACCAAACAGGCCCCAGCTAGGGAGACCTTCCCATGCACAGAGGCCAGGTTATCAGGATTGTTGCTGACAAGCCTGTGTTAGAACAGTCGGTGTATTTACACTTATTATACAAACATAGGGCAGTGTTTGTTCTTGATGCTGCTAGAGTAGTTTCAGTCTGTGCTTATACATTCACAGCCAACACAATTCTTGAAAAAAATACGAACCCAATGTATTTTTAAGGGTTGGATTTCAGAATGTTTTATCAGAATCAAAATGTTTGTTTATCCTGGAGGAGTCCGATGAACTTTAAAGTCCAGTAGGGGCGGGTAAGAACGTTACAACAACAAACTTTACAAAAACATGATAGTCTACATGTTACACACAAAGGTATTACGTGTTATCACACCCTAAAATGTGTGCTTTTCTTTGTAATTTCAGAAGTTGCAGATCTGGCTTCAAACCTCCCAAGTAAGTACAAGGGATTGCTGTAGATCTGAAACTTTTGACTCGATAAATAATTACTGAATATATGAATAATTAAGTGGTTACATTTATAGACTCAACATTAGCACAATGTGCATGTACAAGCAGTCTCCGGTTTACGACGGTCCCATTTTCGACGAATCACTATCGAGCTCTTTTTCAGAAGCGACCTGGCCACAAATGATAGCTCAACGAGGAGTGGCTTATCATGTGGAAATGTCTGGCAGCCAAATACTCTAAAGGGTTGTTTTGAAATGTTGAGAGGAAAACCGGAGGACCCGGAGAAGAATAAACAGGACCACGGGGAGAACATGCAAACTCCAAATATACAAGCATCAGGGTCGGGATCGAATCCACAACCTCATGTATACCAGGCGAGGTAGTTAACATCTCGCTACCACGGCGCCCCTGAAAAAGATTTTTATAGCTCATCAGATTCCTCCAGGAGAAATACATATTTTGATTCTGAGATGCCTGGCATCTACTCATTGAACACGGCTGCATATTAAGGGGAAACGTATTTGTTTATATATAATCGATTAGAAAGTTAATTGTTTCAATAGTGGTCAACAGGTTGTGTTGTATATTATTGAAAATCCAGGTGCATTTCTGTTTGGATAGGACTTGTGGGTGATACAGACGTAAAAAATTGTGTTGTCATTTGGAGTGCGATGACTTTGAGCTGACAGTGTTTATGTAGATGGTTAAATAGGAGCACTCAACCTTGAAGGCTCGCACTGAAATCTGAGGACCTCTCGTGGAGACGGAGGAAACATTTAATGGGCTGTTTTTGAATGTTATTCTTTGCTTTCTTCCCATTCAGTCATTTGAAAACCAGCCTTTTGCAACTAATTCGTAATTAGGTGGGTTGGATCACGTACATACTATGTGTGTCGGAAACCCTCCTTCACCCAACACAGCCAGTTATTACAGTTATCACGCGAACGAACGTGCCAGTGTATTACTTCTTCAGCACTTTACCAGTGTGTTGGAGATCAATACCACGTGACAACATTATGAATCTGCAGTGTAAGGGGAGGAGAGTCTACAACACACATTTTGCTTACACGATCTGACAACCCAAAAAAATAATTATGAATCATAACATCGGTCGAGAAATCCTACGTGCTACGTTTAGACACTTTTGACTTAACCTTGCATTCATCCAACCCGTATCTAACTACATTTGTGTTGTATGTATGTATGTGGAACTTCTTTCGCACCATACGTAGCCAACCATGCTAATCGGAGGTGTGTTCGCAGACACATGTAGGACAAACTTTCCTGACCCGAACAAGCTGCATTTCCTACAGCTCACCATCACGCCAGGTGAGTGCGGCGGGATGTCCAGTGCAGCACGTGGTGTATGTCAATCGCTGGAGAGAGTGGCGCTTAAAACAATCCTGAGCCTTGTCCTGATTGCTGAAAGCACATGCCGATGTGTCTGCGTCTTAGTGCATGGATCCAGTATTAAGAGCACTGGTATTAACACATTCTTGCGGAGGGAGCTGGTAGGAACGTTGGGTTGCTCAGTCAATGGCCAGGGTCAACGGCGGCGTGGTGTATACCGCAAATATGGCCGACTGTGAGGGCGGGCACAAGCCGGTGTGAGTAGGTTAAACGTTGAGTTTTATAAGGGCACCACGGGGTGACCAGCCTCTCCCCACCTAGCCCCTCCCCACTCAGCCCCTCCCCTCCCACCCCCCACCCAGCCCCACCCTCCCCACCCAGCCCCTCCCCACCCCACCCAGCCCCTCTCCACCCTCCCCACCCAGCCCCTCCCCACCCTCCCCTCTCCACCCAGCCCCACCCCTCCCATTTTTGGATGCACGATGGACGGACAGACACAACAATCCCCTGTGAGCTGGTGTAACCAGGAGGTTCCTACCAGTAACAATGTGTTTGATTCTTGGCCACTAATAACATTATCACTGTTGGCTACGTCCGTTGCGAAATAAGTTCAACATACATAAGAGGCATGTGGTATCCGAACCTTTTATGGACCTCCTCTGAGTCAACTTAACCTCATTTGAGTACCTAGTGCAATGTATGAACATCAGCACTGGGGAGAAAACGGTGGCTGGGCATCTTATGCCACACTATGTTGCGAATTACGTTAGGGGATCTTTAGCATCCACTATGAAGCAGACGGCGCGCGGAATTACAATGGTTATTTTACCCACAGTAACAATCAGAGCGCCCACTGCATTTGAACCGTGAACCTCTCCGCAACAAGCGGCGAATGCATTCCCGCTGGGCCATGTCACCGCTTGATGACATGTCAACGCCACATATGATTCAATTGGTGTGCGTGAGCATAAGAATTAGTTCTAGATTTGAACTTTTCGTGACTGCAAGGGTCCATGCTCTTTGGTTTTTTCGGTAAAGTCACGTAGGTAAAAAGGAAAATAAAAATAAATAAAATCACGACGGAAGCTTGTGTTGCCTCCGAAACGTCGTGATTTCATTTATTTTATTTTTTACCTACGTGACTTTACCGAAAAAACAAAATAGCATAAGAATTAGTTTAAGTAAACCAATCATTACATAAGTAGTGCTCGCTAACAGAGAATTATTAATGCCAAAGTTTGATCCTTGTCTTGCGTGTTCTCTTGCAGATGAAGGCTACTATGTCGGAGGGAAATTTGAGTTTGAAGTCGATGTCCCAGATGCCTATAACATGGTGGTAAGTGGCTTCTTGGCCTGCATATGCACGTGTTAGTGGTGCACTGGTATGGTACGGGGGGGAGCACTGGCACGATGGTTAGTGCACTGCACCACAAACCAGGTGGCCTGAATTCGATTTATTCGATGTATGGCCATGGCTATGATATCTTAACTGGTCTACGTTCTTCGCCAGACTCGGTCTTTAACCCAGTTTCAAGTTTATTTGTCAAACTGTTTAAGAACTCAGAATACGAGGATAGTCTGATTTGCAAAGGGTGCCCTGGGAAATTAATGTGCCTCGTTGCGGCGTGTAAGCACCGAGGAGACAAAGGTCACCGGGCACCACCGCCCCGTGTAAGTGTGAGCACTGTGTAAATCGTTAACACGGGCTAAGTGATCGTGATTGGATATTACCAACGTGTCGTGTTCCATTGCAGCCCCCCAAAGTGAAGTGCCTTACGAGAATATGGCACCCCAACATCGCCGAGACGGGCGAGATCTGCTTAAGGTGAGTGTGTGCGCGCGTCGAGTGTTCGTCTAGGGCAGGGGTCGGCAACCCGCCGCTCCGGAGGCGCGTGCGGCGCTTCAAGGGCTGATTCTAGATTTGAAGCTTTCGTGACTGCAAGGATTCATACTCTTAGGTTTTTCGGTAAAGTCACGTAGGTAAAAAATAAATAATAATAATAATAATAAATAATAGAAATAGTAATAGAAATTAAATAATAAATCACGACGTTTCAAGGACTGCTTCGTGATGTTATTCACGTTTACTGCTGCTCTTGAAATATTGAGTTTTTAACACCGAATCCAAAAATAAATGGATCTTCTTGTTATTTTGGTTGCCGACCCTTGGTCTAGGGGGCAGGGTTCTTTCCATATACAGGGTGTTTCAAAAGATGGACCCAATTTCAAAGCAGTATCTTTTACGATGGCAACATGTTACGATTACACAAAAAGTTACAAACGGTTTAATGAGTTATCAAGTTTTACTAACCATTTTATACATGCTCTATGTGCCCTCCACCTGCTGTACGGACAACATCGAGACGATAGTTGAATTCGTCCCAAACGCCTCTCAAAGTGTCTTCTTCCGCTGAAGTAACCGCTGCCGTGATTCTGTTTTTGAGGTCGTCCAGATTAGTCGCGAATGGTGGCACAAAAACACGGTCTTTTGTGCCACCACGCTCTTTGACATTGGCGGATCAATGCCAAAATTCCTTTGAAACGCACGCTGCACCGCAATTACGGATTCAGTCTTGCTGAACTGCAGAACGCAAAACGCCCCTTGTGTGTTGTGGGGGTGACATCCTGCGAATGACTGAGGCTGGGGGCTGTTTGTGCGCTGGGAGAGGCATCTAGCGGTAATCATTTGAAACTCTATGCCCCGCCCTCCTCTCTATGCCCCACCCTCTCTATGCCCTGCCCTCTCTATGCCCCGCCCTCCTCTCTATGCCCCGCCCTCCACTCTATCTCCTGCCCTCTCTATGCCCCGCCCTTTCAAGTGGTAAGAGTTTCATTCAAGGGCGGTTCGTGGTTGCAGAGATATAGCGATTTCAAATCGGCTCATTCTTTTTGAAACACCCTGTATTTATCGGCGGCCCACATAATTAAACTACCGTGTGCTGGGACAGTGTCAGACGTCACATGCCGTCATGTCACGTTTGCACATGTGACCACAAATCTGTAACTCTTGTCTTCAAGTCTCTCATCTCTTGTTCATCTCACGTTCATCTCATCGACCTTATTTCTTGTTTATAGCTCTTCCTTCTCTATGTCTTGTTGATCTCACTTTCATCTCCCTAATCTGCACCTCCTCGCCCTTAACGGGATGACCGTTTGCAATGCCAACTCGCCCATGGACTGCGTGTTTCTGTTCCCCCAGTTTACTTCGTGAGCACTCGATAGACGGTACTGGATGGGCTCCCACACGCACGTTGAAGGTTGTACTGCTTCCTTACTCTTTACGGAAGCTTAAATGCCTCCTCTGTGTGTCTGCGTGTATATATATATATTTACATTTTCGGCATGGCGAATTACTGCTTGCCATCCGCCTTTATAAACAAGCCACATTCATAAACAAAGCATGTATCATGAGCTTAAGAATCTGAGATTCAATGCATCATTACACCCCAAGTGTATGTGATAGATTTAATTCACAATGGAAAACCAATATTTCATCAGCCTAAAGAAGCGGCAGTCATACATTCCACCATTTGGGTAATAATCATTGTGGCGTTAATTGTGTATGTAAAGTTGGTGGTTGGCGGCTTTTTGCGTGTTATATGGGTAGCCAACATCGACTCTAACCCCGACTCCTGTTAGTATTAGTTAATTCACAATGGCCAGCCGTGCATGTGGGATATGTTGGCCGTAACTTATTGGCTTACAGAGTGCCCAAGGATGATATTAATACACTGGCATTGCCATGAATTTATCACGATCTCTGTAAAGTGACGGCATTGTCTGTTTTGTACTGCGTCGTCTTGAGGAATCATTCCTTTATTTTACGTTCTTCGTATGGCTGATGTTGATTTAGAGCAATTATTATAATTTTACACTGAGCTGCTTGAGCCAGATAATTGCGTCAGGAGTAGCGGGGCTGATCATTTTGATGCCTCCTCCGTAGTTTTGTTAATTGGGAGTTGAGTCGTCACACGTTCCACGGTCTGTTTTTGGGTGACCACAGCCTCACGCTGGCAGAGAGTGTGTTTCTAATTTTCTATTTGTGCGTCAACTAGCCGCTCCTATGGTGTGTGCGGACGTGGTTGAGGGTTGTTCACAATGAGCTGAATGAAGATTGTAGTTTTCCAAGACGATTTCATTTTGACTTTGCCCAGTCTCCAATACACTCGCTCTCCTGTGCATACGATGAAGGAAGGAGACATTGGGGTCCTAATTGACTAAGCGCGAGCAGATATGGATACAATTTTAGACAGGCATTTCTTGAAATAGTCAATTCACAATAACAATTCAAAATAATGAGTCATTTTTGTATCCATTTTAGTGTCTGATTTGTTAAGTTTCTCATTTGTAGTATCCCATTTGTTCCCAAAAACCAAAATGTATTAACTTGCATGCCGTGTGCACAAGTCGTCATCTGTTTTACACGCACACACAATGTGACACGTAAGATATATAGCCATTCTCAATCCACTGCTTGATGTAGGTCTCCCCATGCCATACATCAATAAAAAGTAGATTTTGATAAGTACGATTGTTACAAGCCTCCTATATAATACAGTATTTTTGTTACATAGTCATACCTATTGCTACTGTTATTTACCATGTGGGTTCCAAACTGTCTGAATACGATTTCAACTCAACTCTGTCTACAGTTCGTAGATGATTACATCCTCGATGTCACGTAAACTTAAAAACGGCTCAATCCCTAAAACGTACATTGTCATCCTCTGCTTAAATTAAAACACTGTAACGTAAACATTCAAACAATTGCAACCAGATTCATCAGTAATGCATTACACGGGCGAAGTGATCGTGATTGGATATTACCAACGTGTCGTGTTCCATTGCAGCCCCCCCCACAGTAAGTAAAGTGCCTTACGATCACCACAGCTAAGCTGTGTGAACAGGGAGACCACTCTGATTGAACGGTTGTGTGGTTGTGTGATTGTGCGGTTGTGTTTTTACAGGACGTGGTGTGGGGTCTCAACTCCCTCTTTACGGTGAGCCATGATCACTCTGAGCACTTCTGCCAGCGACCACACCACAGCCAGTCTCTGCTAGATTGGATCCACCAAGATTTGTAAATATGTGCAGCACATGTGCGCAGTTCTTTCGTCAATTCACTACTGGGATGAGGGGGTCTTCTTGCGTCATATTGGTTGGTGAAGGCGGGAAGCCGAGATGTTTGTGCATAGGACAGCACAACAATGGAGATTGTACTGCACTGCGCTCTGCCGACAACGTAGCCCCGTAGCAGCCTACAATAGCTGTGGTTTTATGCTGGATGGTCACCCGTTCAAGCGATAAGAAGGCTCTCAGACCCTGCTTAGCTTCGGAGGTTTGATGAAATTGACCACATTGAAGAGTTCTCATATGCATTTGAATGCTTTCCAACAGGTTAAAAGCCTTTATGGATTCGCTCTGTACGTCCGTATTTTAATATTTGCTTTTGAATTTTAGCCTCAGAACTACCCAAAGGCTTCTGAGCATTTTGGAAAGTGTACATAATCCATGCACACGCATGATGATTTTTTCACTCCTTTGTTCATTGGATCATGGATATGATTTCCCCTACAATGCCACTGTGAGCAGCGTGGATTAATTGCGAGGTGGCGAACAATCGTTGTTTGTGTGCGCATCCCTCTAGGATCTGCTGAACTTTGACGACCCACTGAACATCGAGGCTGCTGAGCATCACCTGCGGGACAAGGTGAGTGTCCCGCGGTGCGATCACTCCGCCACTGGCATGTGGCACCCGTCTCGTCTCGAGCGGGCAGATTACGAGATGACGCAGCCTTAAAACAGCAGGCGGATTTTATTGTGTAGATACACATTGGGGTTGTGCGTGATGCGGGCTGCCTCACATGATTTTTAAGTAAATAGGTTTTTTTCTTCTTGGTTCTTTCGGTAAAGTCACGTAGAAGGAAAATAATAAAATAATTAAAATAAAATAAATAGGTTTTTCCATTTTTTCTGGCAACAAAACACCAAGCTGAAACCTTTTACAAGGAATCATGTGTGCATTAACCACAATGCTTGTGGTCAGAATGCAAACAAAAAACATACTCTGATAATATATGCACTGTCCTTGAAACGGATTGGTCCACACCAGAGATAGCTTTCTTTTGAGCCTCGTCTCAAACGGTGTTAGACCAGAGGACCCCAAAAGGCGTACAGCCCAAAGACAATGCACTATCAGAGTAATGAGAGCACGGGGTGAGCATCTACACCATGCGACCTCCTTTGTCCAGTGTAGTGACATCCGGAATGTCGCTGTATGGTGCCGGTCCAGGAGGTCGTGGCGTGCGAGGTACTTACGTCACGAACAGCACCGTGTTTGTTGCTGAGTGAGGCCGGCTCTAGCACAGCACGGCGTGCGATGCACCGTCATCGCGTGCACCCCGTAGGTGGGTGTGGTACCAGCCCTAGCGGGGCTTGGTGAGCGCTGGGATAGCACGGGCACTACACATAGCATGTAGTGCGAGCTCTCATGAGGGGGAGCGGGAGAGTGTCAGCCCAAGGACAGGGTTGCCCCGGGCCATGGCACTCTGGTTGTCATCCGGAGTGTCCATAGAGAGGGTCAAAGGTCGGGGGGCTAGCGGTGGTCACGTGTCCAGGGCGAGCTCTCGAGGGGGGTCGAGAGGGAGCTATAACGCTCGAGAAGGTGGGCGGGGCCAAGGGCGGAGCCGGCCCCGACCCGGGAGGATAAAAGGTGGGTCCCTGAGAGGGACCGGGGTCGCTTCGTTCTACAAGCGGGAAGCTCCACGTCCTACGTCTGAAGAGGCATCAACACGTGGCCGGGGACCCGAGTGAGGGTCCGACCCTTGGTAGCTGTAACTCCTATGTATAGTGCAGTTAGCTGGGTGGTCAGCACCCTAGGCTGTGTCTGGTAAAGGGGCAGTTACCACTTTTGTATATACGTGTTGCGAATAAATGTGTTGTCTCTGAAGAATAACGTCTGCAACTCAGTTGGACCCATTACAACAGTACCAAAATATGATAATAGGGTTTTCCCATTTTTACTGGCAACAAAACAGGTGTTAATATATTAAAACACCAAAACTGAAAACTTTTACAAGGAATCATGTCTGCATTAACCACAATGCTTGTGGTCAGAATGCAAACAAAAAACATACTCTTGACAACATTGGTCAACACACTTTTTCTGGCATAAGGTATTCCAACGGTTTTTTGGGGTGCTGATTCCAAATCTGGCATCAGTTGTTGTCTATCACATCAGGTTTTTGAGATATCAAATATTGCATTTTCAATAAAAACTGCAGAAGAAAAATATGAAATAAATGTGGATATCTACATAAAATTATATTATAAACACACGATCCTAAAAATACAGCGCCATATTTTAACACTAAAGCAGTCACTGACTCGCAACAACTTGCAATCATAAGTGACAGAGTTAATTTCGGGTAAAATCAATGAAAATGAGGTATGCCGATAGCATAAAAATGAGATGTGATAGAGCAAATTTGAGATCAGATTTGGAATCAGCACCCTGAAATTAGTCTAAAACAGCTGCAAAAGTCTAGGCCAGAATTTTTTTTTATTTGTTGACCAGTGCAATAGAAGCATTGTGGTTATTTGTGGTTAATGCAGACATGATTCCTTGTAATAGGTTTCAGTTTGGTGTTTTAACATCTTAACACTTGTTGTGTTGCCAGAAAAAAGGGGAAAGACCTATTATCATATTTTGGTACTGGCAAAGGTGGTCCCATGATGATTTTTAAGGTCTGTTAATGAGTAAAAGCTCTGTTAATGATAATAAAAATTACCTCGAGTCTTGGGTATCATTGTGGCACTTTAGCGATGTCACTCCAACGCGTTTTAAGAGAAAGGTAATGCAGTAACGTCAGTCCACGTATGTGATTGTAAGGTGCTTTTTCACACCATTGAGGCTTTGAACTGGTGTCTGACAGCCCAGGCCACACAGCCCAGCGAAGTACCATTTGTTTTTTAGGTTGCAGCTTCATAAAAAATACACGCAATGGTTGGGTGGCTGAGAGATCGGAGCCCTGAGCTGGATTCGAATTCGGTCAACTGGCTTTGAATAAACTGTCCATGCCACTCTTCATACAGACTCTGTGTGTTAAATGTGCCTCCGTGTGGTTCTGTAAGCCTCGGCAAGAACCGTGAGCCATACGAATCCTAAAGATTACCTCGTCTGGCTCTGCTTTTTTTCATCGGTTGGTGTTTTTGTGTGTGTGTGTGTATACTGTGTGTGTGTATACTGTGTGTGTGTATACTGTGTGTGTGTGTGTATATACTGTGTGTATGTATACTTTGTGTGTATACTGTGTGTGTGTATACTGTGTGTATGTATACTGTGTGTGTATACTGTGTGTGTGTGTATACTGTGTGTGTGTGTATACTGTGTGTGTGTATACTGTGTGTATGTATACTGTGTGTGTGTATACTGTGTGTGTGTATACTGTGTGTGTGTATACTGTGTGTGTGTATACTCTGTGTGTGTGTATACTCTGTGTGTGTGTATACTCTGTGTGTGTGTATACTCTGTGTGTGTGTATACTCTGTGTGTGTGTATACTCTGTGTGTGTGTATACTGTGTGTGTGTATACTGTGTGTGACTGCAGACTCCTGCATGCTTGTTTATGATGGTTTGACTGGCACTGTAACTGGTTAGATTTTTTTTTATTGTTATCCCCATGCACCATCTGGCATTGGCAATTCTTATTTCCAGGGTGCTCATAACCATTACAGATCACGTGTTTTTTAAAAGTCACTCTTGAATCTGGGCAGGATGGTGGTGGGAGTCAGGTTTTAGATATGCATCCGTATGGGGGGCTTTCCTGTAGACAGTGTCCCATTGAACCATCTGACACCAGATGGCTCAATGGGACATATATAAAAACCTGACTCCTACCATCCTTCCCAGAAGAATTCCCTCATCAAAACTCTACACCATAGAGCTCGATGTATTTCCGACCATCATCACCTAGCCAGTGAACTGGAACACGTACACCAAGCTCTCAAGATCAATGGATATTCAGACTACACAATCCGTAAAGCTATTACCCCAACCTTTGGGAAAGAACCATCTGAGAACCCAATCAAAACCATCACCTTGTCATACACAGCAGGGGTCACCAAAAATATTTCCAAAATCATGAGCAAACAAGATCCAGGTTCGATTTAATACAGTACATAAAATTCGTGATCTGATCCCATCTGTGAAGGATGTGATCCTGACATGCAGTACCCTGGCGTCTATAAACTAAGCTGTGTCTGCGGCAGTAGTTACATTGGGGAAACTAAGCGACATGTCTCGGACCGTGTTCGTGAACATAAGGCAGATCTGAAACACGGTAGGACCAATACCTCAGCCGTGGCTGATCATTGTTGTAATGCGGTGGGCTCACGAAATTGATTTCTCTAAGACGAAAGCAACTTTGCAAACCCACTGGCTATCAACAAAGATTCGTTCATGAAGCCATCCATATATATATAGACACAGAGACAACTTCAATCGAAAAAATGGGTATAAACTAAGCAATCATTGGAAGGATGTTATCAACCAGTTTAAGTCGTAACTAGTTGTGATGTTCCCATCCTACCACCTTCCGATGTTAGTTGTTATTTTCGGCTCTCTGATTTTACATTAACAGGTTAAATTTCCCACACTAACACAGCCACCTCGCTCGCCGTGCTCGAGGTTTTTGCTTTGCGATCTCCCATTAACATGCTGATCTCTCACATTAACATAGCCACCTCAGCGCACCTGCCGTGGAGGCCTCTCAACGATCTTACATTATGCTAATTTTTACTGGGCAGCCCTTTGATTGGTGGGAAAACCCACCACCGTCGCGGTCGCTGCCCACCACTTACATTAACATTGGCTGCTGACATTTGGGCTACACCTATTTCAAACCTTTATAAACAGTTTGCCTTTAGAGGCTAACCCCCTCTTCCTGATGACGAACGCTTGTGTTGTGATCGAAACGTCGTAGTTTTTTGTTACTTTTTGTTATTTTCTTTGAACCTATCTACGTGACTTCACCGAAAGACCCAAAGAATATGAATTCCTGCAGTCACGAAAGCTTTAAGTCAAGCTTCAATAAGATCTGAATTGGGCTGTAATAAGGCAAGCATTGATAAGCAGTTGACAGGTATGCATTATCACGAATTCAATACTTTGGAGAACAATCGCATGTTGGAAAGCATTACAGAATCGCATGCACATTCATCATTTTTCTTTTTCTCTTCCCTTCCCATGCAGGACGAGTTCAGGAACAAGGTGCAGGATTACATCCGACACTATGCAAGATGACTCGAGCTGATGAGGCCTTCGCATGCTGCTTTTCTCCGGTCCGTCTTCTCGGATGCACGGAACGGGAACGTGGGGAGGGACACGTCCGGGCCTGGCGCCGAAACTGCGTCCTGGTGGTGCGCGTGACCCCGTCCTGCACAACCTACGACCTCTCCTGCATTAGCCCAACTCGAGCCGCCTGGCTACGGTGCGCGGAGGCACACGCAGGACTCCTGATGTTCTCAATCTACCCTGACGGAACACGCTCGTGAAACAACTAGGGCTGTCACAAGTGCATCGGTAACACTGACAAGCACCTCCGTCGTTTACGATTAATCAGCCTGCCCGATAATCGGATTTGTCAATGGATGTTGGTTTGCCAAAGTGGCACGGAGGGCGGCGGCGGCAGCAGCAGCAGCAACAGGCGAGAATATCTTGCTGAAAGTGCCAGGTCGGCACCACAGGGTGATGGGTTCGATGCCCGGTCTGCTTAGGCGCCTTACCTCATTGCTGCCGTAGCAAAGCCGTGTTGAACGGCGCTGTATGAATAGAATAAAAAAATTACGAGAGCAATGACAGCATTCATTCGTTATCACCTTTTGAAAGTAAGCGATGAAATCTATGAATACTTGTTGATTATTCAATGGCGTGGAATAATGTAGATCAGCAAGTGACAGCCCTAGTCACAACTGTAGGTTTCCGCAACTGTGTCTCGCCGCCAAAGTCCCCAAACATCGCACGTTTGCTTGGTTTTACGTTTCGTTGAACATCGTGTGAGTTGAGGTTTCTTTTTTGCGGATGTTGCTTTAAGGTTTGAGGGGCGAGCGTTCTCCGGAGGTCGTCGTGTTTTTATGTCGCTTGCTGCTGTTTACCGTTACAAGGCGTTTTGTTTTGCACGTTCAGAAGTGACTTCCAGAAAATGCAATGTGATAATGATCATAAACGTGCCCCCACGCACCTCTGCAATTGCAAAAGAACCACTTATTGCATCGCCGTTACAAACAAGCGTCGAGGATGAAAGTGCTGAGCTGCATTGCAGGAAGAGAATGCGTCATGAGCTGATGTGTCGCTGAGTGTGTCACGATGTACTGTTTACTTGGTTTGTTGCTTCTGTAACGCACAGCAAATTGTTCATTAAAAAGAAAACACCCAAAAGTATTTGCCGTTTGTAATACTCCTGTCATGTATTTGTCTAGGAAGGCCTCGCCGAGTCTAAAGACTCAGGAGGGGGTCCTGCGTTGGGATGTCTTAAGATCTCCAGCATCTTGGTCATGAAACAAATACCTTGGATATGCAAGCAGAGTCTGGAGAGAGTGGGCAAGAACTTTGATCCTTATCTGTGTATGATAGTTCAATGTTAACGGGACATTTTACTGGTAGGAACCCTCCTGGTTACACCAGCCCACAGGGGATTATTGTGTCCGTCCATTGTGCATCCAAAAATGGGAGGGGTGGGGCTGGGTGGAGAGGGGAGGGGCTGGGTGGGAGGGGTGGGGCTGGGTGGGGAGGGGCTGGTCACCCCGTGGTGCTCTTATAAAACTCAACGTTTAACCTACTCACGCCGGCTTGTGCCCGCCCTCACAGTCGGGCATATTTACGGAATACACCACGCCGCCGTTGACCCTGGCCATTGACCGAGCAAACCAACGTGCCTACCAGCTCCCTCCGCAGGACAATGTGTTCTTGAGGGACTTGTTATCTTGGTGTGGTCTGGGACTTTCTGCGATTTTTGCTGCTCTGCCCAAGCTTGATAAATCGGTCGTATACACTTAATTATTTTAATTGCATTTGGTGATTTGATTTGCTGGCCCGTCGACACTGGACATACAGCTGTTGAAAAAAGAGGTTCACAGCTCATCGGATTCCTCCTGCAGCCAAAATAGAGATTCTGAGAAGGAGAGTGGGTGGGGCTAGACGATGGAGTGGGCGGGGGCTATCGAGAGTGGGCGGGGCTAGACGATGGAGTGGGTGGGGCTATCGAGAGTGGGCGGGGCTAGACGATGGAGTGGGTGGGGCTATCGAGAGTGGGCGGGGCTAGACGATGGAGTGGGTGGGGCTATCGAGAGTGGGCGGGGCTAGACGATGGAGTGGGTGGGGGCTATCGAGAGTGGGCGGGGCTAGACGATGGAGTGGGCGGGGCTATCGAGAGTGGGCGGGGCTAGACGATGGAGTGGGTGGGGCTATCGAGAGTGGGCGGGGCTAGACGATGGAGTGGGCGGGGCTATACGATGAGTGGGCGGGGGCTAGACGATTGAGTGGGCGGGGCTAGACGATGGAGTGGGCGGGGCTATCGAGAGTGGGCGGGGCTAGACGATGGAGTGGGTGGGGGCTATCGAGAGTGGGCGGGGCTAGACAGAGTGTGCGGGGCTCTGGGCGGGCCTCCCCCTCGTCGCCCCTAGCGACGCGCATGCGCGGTGACAGTGCGAGGAGCCTGGGCCCAGATCACAGCCGCCCGGGGTGAGGGTGGTGAGGGGGGCGGGGTGAGGGTGGTGAGGGGGGTGAGGGGGGAGGGGTGAGGGTGGTGAGGGGGAGGGGGTGAGGGTGGTGAGGGGGGTGAGGGGGGCGGGGTGGTGAGGGGGGCGGGGTGAGGAAGGTGATGATGCGGTGATGGTGATTGGTAGGGATTGTGATGGCAGTGGTGGTGATGGTGATTAGTCGTGGTGATGGTGGTGATGGCGGTGATGGTGATTGGTAGGGATTGTGATGGTAGTGGTGGTACTGTCGCGGTGCGCGCTGCGCTACGAATCCGTCAACACCCAGTGACGAGCATCTGAACCGGGGCTTCCCCTAGGTCCACTCAGCCTCAAATGAGTACCCGGTGTAGTCTGTAAACATCGCCACTGGGGAGACAAAGGCGGTCGGGAGTGGTGCTGGCCACCCACCCCCTCGTGTGCCGTGCCGGCAGGTTGCTACTCGCTAACAGCGCTTGCCCCAACAATCTGTTCAGGTTACACGGGGATCTTTGGTGATGTGGTGATGATGATGATGAGTGTGATGGCAATGGTGGTGGTGGGTGGTGGTGGTGACTGTGACTGTGGTGATGTGGTGATGATGATGATGAGTGTGATGGCAATGTGGGTGGTGGGTGGTGGTGGTGGTGACTGTGATTGTGGTGATGGTAGCAACAGCGCCCGTTCTTGGTGAGATTTCAGCGTTTCGTGAGGGTGATCGCAGTTGTAGTGCTAGTTGAGGGTGTTGATAGTGGCAGTGGTGGTATGATGGTAGTGTGGTGGTATGATGGTAGTGTGGTGGTATGATGGTAGTGTGGTGGTATGATGGTAGTGTGGTGGTATGATGGTAGTGTGGTGGTATGATGGTAGTGTGGTGGTATGATGGTAGTGTGGTGGTATGATGGTAGTGTGGTGGTATGATGGTAGTGTGGTGGTATGATGATAGAGTGGTGGTATGATGGTAGTGTGGTGGTATGATGGTAGTGTGGTGGTATGATGGTAGTGTGGTGGTATGATGGTAGTGTGGTGGTATGATGGTAGTGTGGTGGTATGATGGTAGTGTGGCGGTATGATGGTAGTGTGGCGGTAGTGTGGTGGTATGATGGTAGTGTGGTGGTATGATGGTAGTGTGGTGGTATGATGGTAGTGTGGTGGTATGATGGTAGTGTGGCGGTATGATGGTAGTGTGGCGGTATGATGGTAGTGTGGTGGTAGTGTGGTGGTATGATGGTAGTGTGGTGGTATGATGGTAGTGTGGTGGTATGATGGTAGTGTGGTGGTATGATGGTAGTGTGGTATGATGGTAGTGTGGTGGTATGATGGTAGTGTGGCGGTATGATGGTAGTGTGGCGGTATGATGGTAGTGTGCTGGTATGATGGTAGTGTGGTGGTATGATAGTAGTGTGGTGGTATGATGGTAGTGTGGTGGTATGATGGTAGTGTGGCGGTATGATGGTAGTGTGGCGGTATGATGGTAGTGTGGTGGTATGATGGTAGTGTGGCGGTATGATGGTAGTGTGGTGGTATGATGGTAGTGTGGTGGTATGATGGTAGTGTGCTGGTATGATGGTAGTGTGGTGGTATGATGGTAGTATGGTGGTATGATGGTAGTGTGGTGGTATGATGATAGTGTGCTGGTATGATGGTAGTGTGGTGGTATGATGGTAGTGTGGTGGTATGATGGTAGTGTGGTGGTATGATGGTGTGGTGGTATGATGGTAGTGTGGTGGTATGATGGTAGTGTGGTGGTAGTGTGGTGGTATGATGGTAGTGTGGTGGTAGTGTGGTGGTATGATGGTAGTGTGGTGGTATGATGGTAGTGTGGTGGTAGTGTGGTGGTTTGATGGTAGTGTGGTGGTATGATGGTAGTGTGGTGGTTTGATGGTAGTGTGGTGGTATGATGGTAGTGTGGTGGTATGATGGTAGTGTGGTGGTATGATGGTAGTGTGGTGGTTTGATGGTAGTGTGGTGGTATGATGGTAGTGTGGTGGTATGATGGTAGTGTGGTGGTATGATGGTAGTGTGGTGGTTTGATGGTAGTGTGGTGGTATGATGGTAGTGTGGTGGTTTGATGGTAGTGTAATGTTAGCTGGTGACAATCGTGGCTTTGATGATGGTGCTGTAGTTGGTGAGAGTATGGGGAGCGGTGGTGCAACGGTTAGCACGCTCACAGACAACATCAGGTCGACTCAGTCTCTGTTTATATAAAAAAACAATACCACTGGGGAGACAAAGGCGGCCGGGCGTGGTTGCTGGCCTTCTCATGCCCTGGTGTCTTCATAGGTGATCCCTGACAGCGCTTGTCTCAGCAGCTGGTTAAGGTTACACGGTGGGGAGGGGATCTTTGTCTTGGTCGGGGTGGTGGTGGTGGTGGTAATGATGATAATGGGATTGATGATTATTCGTAATAATGCTGGTGACGGTGGTTGTGGTGGGATTGGTGGTCGGGGTGATGGCGGTCGTGATGGTGATGCCATCGTTGGTGAGGGTGATGGTGGTGGTGACAGTGATGACCGCTGAGGTTAGAGTTGGTGGTCATGTTGGTGACGATCATGATGGTGATGAATAAAGTGATGATGATGTTCTAGGGATGCAGCCGATTCTCTCGTTTCTTTTGTCTTTTCTTCCGATTTTGCACAACCCATTTGAGAGAACAGTCCGCAGAAGGGGATATCTCAGAACTGCTCTTAAAATGTCGTCAGGTGACCTTAACCGCACGAGTTGGCATCGCTTTGTCACCCGTCCTGCCACACAGGCAGCAATGCCTATTGCATGGCAATCAAAACTTGTTAATTCTCATCCATATGAAGTGCAAAGCCAGATGAAGTATATTTTGTGCGTTAATTGGTGACTGAGCTGGAACTCAAGTTTAATTACATGCAGCTGAAACCCGGATTCTAACCCAGTATCTGAGCGATGCCAACTCAGCGGTCCGTCTACAAGCCACCTTGCAGCTACGCCAGTCCTCTTCACGGTGCCGCCACGTTGATGCGTCTAACCATACATCATCTGCCCCTTGTCCCACAGCCCCGCGGCCTTGCCCCCCCCCCCGCCAGCCCGTTGGGATGTCTGGCGGAGCGTGCTTCCCGCTGCCCGACGCGCCACCCCCGGCCTTGGCCATCCTCCAGGAAGCGGCAGCGCTCAACGGAGGCTGGGGAGAGTCCAGCTCAAGCTCTAACTGCTCAGATGGTTGTTGCCACGTCCTCCCCCACCCATCCCCCCACTTACACTGATCCGCGTGATCCTTTACAATAGAGCCACGGTGGCGAGATGTTAACTACCTCCCTCGTCTGGTATGCAGAAGGTCGTGGGTTGAACCTGACCCTGATGCTTGCTGTATCATCGGAGTTTGCTTATCTCTTTTTTACCGTGGAAAGATGTTAACTACCTCGCCTGGTATACAGGAGGTCGTAGGTTCGATCCCGACCCTGAAGCCTGCTGTATATTTGGAGTTTGCGTGTCTCTCTCCCCGTGGTCGTGTGGATTTTTCTCCGGGTCCTCCGGTTTTCCCCTCCACATTTTAGAAACGACTCCCTGGCCCCTGTTAAAATCCAAGTTCAAGACCTTACTTTTTTTCTCTGCCTCTGACCGACTGCCTCTATCCAGAATAAATACACCCACTGTTTCTGTGCAGCATCTTGAGATGTTGTTGTATTTAGTTGTTATATGAATCCACATTTGATTGTACAAGCAGGTTTTTTTTTAATTTACGTTTCTTTTTTCAAGCCTCAGATGAATCGGATAGCTCTCGGGAGGAAGAGGAGCCTCTGACGGAAGAGGTGCCAGCCAGCGGCACGAGGCTACGGCGTGGACAGGGACTCGTCCGGCAGCAGCGACATGACGGCAAGTCTCCCCAACACTTCCCCTCCGTCCCCAATCCCTTCTGCGCGACCGCGGGGCAAGTGTCGTCACCCCGGACGCCGTTGTGCTCGCGCCGACCGCTGCGATGTCGTCGTACAGGCGAAACCGACGGCGTGGCCGAGAGCGACGGCGACGGTTCCGACTCGGCGCCCGCTGACGAGGAGGAGGAGGCTCTCACGAGGGCGCGGCGCTCTGCCAGCAGGAGCCGGCGTCCGCGTGGATCGCAGGAGACGCGCGAGCGGACGGGCGCGAGCTCGGCGCCGGCCGACGCGGCGCACGCCTGCGGCGACTGCGCCAAGACGTTCGCCGGGCGCTCGGCTCTCGAAAGGCACCGGGGCAAGAAGCACGCGGCGTCACGCGCGAAGGCGCGCAGCCTGCAGTGCGAGGTCTGCAACAAGAAACTGGCCTCCTACAACGGGCTGTGGCGGCACCGCAAGACGCACACGGGCGCGCGGCCCTACCCGTGCGACGTGTGCGGCAAGAAGTTCTCGCGCCTCTCCAACGTGACGCGTCACAAGCGGCAGCACTCGGGCGAAGCGCCCAGCATGCCGCTGCAGTGCGCGCAGTGCGGCAAGCGCTTCCCGTACGCGTCGGCGCTGCGCGTGCACGCCCGCACCCACACGGGCGAGAAGCCGTACATGTGCGAGAGCTGCGGCAAGATCTTCTCGCACACGTCGGCGCTCAACGAGCACAAGCGCACGCACACGGGCGAGAAGCCCTTCGCCTGCGAGGTGTGCGGCAAGCAGTTCTCGCGCAACTCGGTGCTGGTGCTGCACCGCAAGATCCACGTCGGCAAGAAGGCTTTCATGTGCGACGAGTGCGGCAAGGAGTTTCTGCTCTTCTCGCACCTGGCGCTGCACACGCGCGTGCACACCGGAGAGAAGCCCTACAAGTGCCTGGAGTGCGGCCGCGCCTTTGCGCAGTCGTCCAACCTCACCAAGCACATGAGGACGCACACGGGCGAGAAGCCGCACAAGTGCGAGGTGTGCGGCAAGGGATTTTCGCAGGCGCGGCACCTCTTGCGCCACGTCACCACGCACTACAGCTGAGCGCGTGGGCCCCTGAGCGCCACGTCGTAACAACACAGCTGCCGATGAAATAACGATTCGTCATCGATTGACATCAAGCGTTATCTGGATTTACTTTTTTGTGCTTTTTTACACCAATTACACAGCGTTTGTGGTAGTGGTGGCGCGACAAAGAACGTGTCACTTGGAAGGCTCACACCGGAGGGTCTAAGGCTGGAATACAGATTCGAACCCAAGATTTCAGCATTGCCAATGGCTCAGAATGAGCTCCCTGAGTCACCCGAATTAAAGTCACTTCTTAGCTGCACGGTACATGCATCGAATAATTGGTTGCAAGAATCGGTTGTTTTCAAGCCACATGGTTTTATACCACTACAAGTTCCACTTGCGCCGTACGGGCAAACGAAAGAAAGGGGTTTGAGAATCGAATCTTGGCCACGAAGCGTCACGATTTTCTTGAGCCATGGCAGGTGCCGAATCGTTACGTCTTTCCATACATGACTGGCATGACGCACGGTCGCTGTGGATGTCAAGACTGATGTACACAACACTACGACATTGCACTTTTTTAGGTTTGTTTATTAATTTTGTAACTTGCCTGGTGTCTGTAGGATGTGTTCGCTGATGCCCGGCGCGCGTATTTATGTTTAGTTATTGCCGTGTACATAGCGCTAACATCCCCGCGCCATAATTTCTTTACAGTGGAACGCGTGGAACTCGGCAGTTTACCAGCACAGGCTTTTTTTTTTTTACGCGGTGCCTGCTCTCATCGCGTGTAATACATCCCCGTTGCCACCACTGCGGGGGCCGGGTTTTGTGCGAAGATTGGAACAGAGACCACGAAGTGGCACTTCCTATGTCATGCTCACTTACGAATGAATAATAAAGTTTTTTTGGGTTAGATCGCGTAAGTGTAAATGTGTTGAAACCCTCCACCACCCGACACAGCCAATTCGTACGGGAATTGTCATGTCAACTAAACGCCAAATATATTTACAATTTGAGTACGCCCGATGATGCTGGATGTAATTAGCAGCTAAAGTTGGCTGTGTTGGATGGTGGAGGGTTTCGACACATACTAACGCGATCTAACCCAAAAACCTTTATTATGAATAATATTGGCCGCGAAAGCCTCCGTGTTAAACTCACGAATGTCCAAAGAGGTCGTCGGTGTATAGCCTGGTGCCCACGTAGGAAGTTTAGCAGGTGACCTGGGGTGATGACATTTATCCAGATGGTAACCACTTAAGATGACCACACCTTTAGTGACACCAATTATGTGTAAGTCCTACTCGCTTGAATTCCTAACGCAAATCACTTGCATTGCTCACATCAAGATATGGGTGTTGTTCAAGTTTAGATTTTTCGGGTGATATTGCCGCCAGTAAAGAAAACAGAGTGAAGCAGTAATGTCTTTTATTATTTATTCAGGAAAGCCTCGCTGAGTCTCAATAATTGTATGCTGTGGGCTCCTGCACTGGGTTGTTCGGGCAATTGCTCTTTAAGTAGTTTCACTAAAAGTGGGAGGGATTTACACCATACGATCCTCCTTTGCCAGTAGCAAAATATGATAATTGTTTTTTTACCCTTTTATTTGGCAACAAAACTGACACCTTTTTTTACAAGGAGTCATGTTTGCATTGACAATACCTGCGGTCAGAAAGGCGCCTTTTGGCGTCATCTGGTCCAACACCATGTGAGACTGGGCTCTAAGAAAAGCTGTCTCGGGTGTGGACCAATCAATTTCAAGGACAGTGCATACATTATCAGTTATGTGTTTTGTTTGCATTCTGACCGCAAGTATTGTGGTCTATGCAAACATGACTCCTTGTAACAAGTAAACCCGTAAAAACAAAGTTTTTCACTCTAAATCCTTTATATGCGTGGCGGCTAGAGTTCTCTCGTCCTCTGGCTTGAGATGGCTGCAATCTATGGGTCAGATGATTGTCTGCCAGTATTAAGCAATTGGTAATTAAATATTTAATTAGTTTTCCTAAACAGTGTAAAATTTTGGAAAAAAAATTTCACGAAAATTAATTGTCACACACAACGAGTCTGTGTGGAAAATGTCAGCTCGATTGGATCACGGGAAGTGGGTTAAAAAACGAGCGAAAGATTTGCACGGTCCTAAGCAAGCAAGCGAACTTAATATAAAGGATTAAAAATATATTCGCCTGTGGAGGACGCGGGGATCGATCCCGTGACCTTTGGCATGGGAAGCGAGGGCGCTACTAACTGCGCTACTCCGCCACGGCCTGTGGAGGGGTTACGCTCTGGGCTCTTACACTCTGACGTTCAGCCAAAGCCATGAATGCGTTCTATTTGAATATATGTAAAATACATTTTTTTTGCCTAAAAAAGTGTAAAATTTTGGGATTTTTTTTCACGAACAATAATTGTCTCGCACAACGAGTCTGTGTGGAAAATGTCAGCTCGATTGGATCACGGGAAGTGGGTTAAAAAACGACCGAAAGATTTGCACGGTCCTAAGCAAGCAAGCAAGCACGCGAACTTAATATAAAGGATTTTTAAAAAAAGGTGTCAGTTTTGTTGCCAGATAAAAGGGTAAAAAAAACAATTATCAAGTGGGAGAGAATTAGTGTGCCCGGAGATAACCCACGCACACGAGGAGAGAACACAATAAATATCCATCCACATGGGTTCACATAGTCACTTTCTGTGCTGCCATGACGTGGCCCGCAGGCTTGTTGAGTTTCACAGAATTCTGCGCGGTCCACTCAGCCATGCATCCAGAGCGCTCGCTTACGGTGTGGGGCTGTTGACCTTCAAAGCTGGCCGTGTGTGTGATGCCCGAGCAAGGCACCAGAGTCACCAACATGCCCATATCGCACTACTTTCACCCGCACTACTTTCACCCAATATCGCGTCGTGTGACTGTACGCGTAGATTTTCTTTCGTGTGGCCAATGAAGAGCAAACAGACATTCTGTTCCAAGTGACTTAGGGGCCGTCCATAAATGACGTCACGCACTTAGGGGCGATCACACATTTGTGACGATGTGTGACAAGGGGGGGGGAGGTGAGAAATGTGACGTCACATCAAAATGCGCAACTTTAAATAAACAGACAACACGTTCTATTAAATGAAATAGACTTTTTAATAAATGTTTTCTCCTACAACATCAGAGTGCAGCGCCACATTACATTACAATTCTATGTCGCAAAAAATATATGCTTCCAGCTAAACTTTGTTCTTTTACATCACACGAGTCTACACCGTACTATATACTGCCATAGACAAACCCAACATTAAATTACATACTGTATTACTATACACCACCTTATACATTGTAATATTAGACTCGTGTGATGTAAGAGGACAAAGTTTAGCTGGAAGCATATTATATTGTTTGCGACATAAAATTGTAATGTATTACTTACTGTTAGTAGCTCTGCTTATTGGAAAGTATATTTAGTATACTGATGATACTATGTAGTTTATACTTTAGTTGTTTACGTGGTTGTTTAGTTACTGCAGCTACATACTATTAACATTCCTTCCCTTTATTAATGCTACCCCTATCCCCTCCCTTTGATGCTGCTAATCCTGCATAATGCACGGGCATAATGACTTTAAACCCCCCGCCAAACCTCCTACGCATTTCACAAGTAGTACTAATCGCATATCTGCATTTCCATAAATATGCTAAATTCCTCTTGATATGCAAATTATTTTGTCAAGGCGCCCTTCCCCCCTCCATCCCAGCTTAAATAGTCGCTCCAAGCCTGGAGTGTGTCATTCAGACGCTGTCTTCTCGGCAGACCTGTTCTTTACTCTTTACCTGAGGACGGCTGCTTGCGTTGTAGCCGAAACGTCGTGAGAATTATTTTGTTATGTTTTATTTTTATTATTTTATTATTTCCATTCGACGTGACTTTAACGAAAGAACTAAGAAAATGGAAATATGGTTTTGGTAGGGGGGGAGCAGAGCTTTGTGACGTCATATTTCAGGGGGGGGGGGTGTCTGACTTTTTGTGACGCCGTGTGACGAGGGGGGGGGGGGGTCAAAAATCACGTGACGTCTTTTATTGACAGTCCCTTAGCCATTCCGTTCGGCTACAGGTTTCGCTGCACCAGGTGGTGTGCAGCATTAATCGAGACATCCACTCCTTGTGCTCGCCGTTGGTGATGGCAAAGCAGCATTTGCAGAAGCGTTACAATCGCCAGCAACAGTAACCGACGCAGCAGCAGCAGCAACATTGGAGAGTGGCGTGGCCTAGCGATGGTGCGCTGTCTGATTGTGGTAGCGCTTCACAGTTCGAATCCATAAAAAATATGCGTCATCTGCTTTGCAGTCGCCGTTGACGATCCTTGATGTCATCCGCAAAAGTTGGTCATCATGTACCAGCCTCGTGGCCCGAATATTCAAAAAGTTGAAAAATGTGATCGCTGATGAGCGAGCTGATGAGCTGTGTGTAGTGGAAGCCGGGCAGTGTGGTAATGATGGTGGGCTCGCTGATGAGTTGTGTGTAGTGGAAGCCGGGCAGTGTGGTGATGGTGGTGGGCTCGCTGATGAGCTGTGTGTAGTGGAAGCCGGGCAGTGTGGTAATGATGGTGGGCTCGCTGATGAGTTGTGTGTAGTGGAAGCCGGGCAGTGTGGTAATGGTGGTGGGCTCGCTGATGAGCTGTGTGTAGTGGAAGCCGGGCAGTGTGGTGATGGTGGTGGGCTCGCTGATGAGCTGTGTGTAGTGGAAGCCGGGCAGTGTGGTGATGGTGGTGGGCTCGCTGATGAGCTGTGTGTAGTGGAAGCCGGGCAGTGTGGTGATGGTGGTGGGCTCGCTGATGAGTTGTGTGTAGTGGAAGCCGGGCAGTGTGGTGATGGTGGTGGGCTCGCTGATGAGCTGTGTGTAGTGGAAGCCGGGCAGTGTGGTGATGGTGGTGGGCTCGCTGATGAGCTGTGTGTAGTGGAAGCCGGGCAGTGTGGTGATGGTGGTGGGCTCGCTGATGAGCTGTGTGTAGTGGAAGCCAGGCAGTGTGGTGATGGTGGTGGGCTCGCTGATGAGTTGTGTGTAGTGGAAGCCGGGCAGTGTGGTAATGGTGGTGTGCTCGCTGATGAGCTGTGTGTAGTGGAAGCCGGGCAGTGTGGTGATGGTGGTGGGCTCGCTGATGAGCTGTGTGTAGTGGAAGCCGGGCAGTGTGGTGATGGTGGTGGTGGGCTCGTTGATGAGCTGTGTGTAGTGGAAGCCGGGCAGTGTGGTGATGGTGGTGGGCTCGCTGGTGAGCTGCGTGTAGTGGAAGCCGGGCAGTGTGGTGATGGTGGTGGGCTCGCTGATGAGTTGTGTGTAGTGGAAGCCGGGCAGTGTGGTGATGGTGGTGGGCTCGCTGATGAGCTGTGTGTAGTGGAAGCCAGGCAGTGTGGTGATGGTGGTGGGCTCGCTGATGAGCTGTGTGTAGTGGAAGCCGGGCAGTGTGGTGATGGTGGTGGGCTCGCTGATGAGCTGTGTGTAGTGGAAGCCGGGCAGTGTGGTGATGGTGGTGGTGGGCTCGCTGATGAGCTGTGTGTAGTGGAAGCCGGGCAGTGTGGTGATGGTGGTGGGCTCGCTGATGAGCTGTGTGTAGTGGAAGCCGGGCAGTGTGGTGATGGTGGTGGGCTCGCTGATGAGTTGTGTGTAGTGTAAGCCGGGCAGTGTGGTGATGGTGGTGGTGGGCTCGCTGATGAGCTGTGTGTAGTGGAAGCCGGGCAGTGTGGTGATAGTGGTGGGCTCGCTGATGAGCTGTGTGTAGTGGAAGCCGGGCAGTGTGGTGATGGTGGTGGGCTCGCTGATGAGCTGTGTGTAGTGGAAGCCGGGCAGTGTGGTGATGGTGGTGGGCTCGCTGATGAGTTGTGTGTAGTGGAAGCCGGGCAGTGTGGTGATGGTGGTGGTGGGCTCGCTGATGAGCTGTGTGTAGTGGAAGCCGGGCAGTGTGGTGATGGTGGTGGGCTCGCTGATGAGCTGTGTGTAGTGGAAGCCGGGCAGTGTGGTGATGGTGGTGGGCTCGCTGATGAGCTGTGTGTAGTGTAAGCCGGGCAGTGTGGTGATGGTGGTGAGCTCGCTGATGAGCTGTGTGTAGTGGAAGCCGGGCAGTGTGGTGGTGGTGGTGGGCTCGCTGATGAGCTGTGTGTAGTGGAAGCCGGGCAGTGTGGTGGTGGTGGTGGGCTCGCTGATGAGCTGTGTGTAGTGGAAGCCGGGCAGTGTGGTGATGGTGTTGGGCTCGCTGATGAGCTGTGTGTAGTGGAAGCCGGGCAGTGTGGTGATGGTGGTGAGCTCGCTGATGAGCTGTGTGTAGTGGAAGCCGGGCAGTGTGGTGATGGTGGTGGGCTCGCTGATGAGCTGTGTGTAGTGGAAGCCGGGCAGTGTGGTGATGGTGGTGGGCTCGCTGATGAGTTGTGTGTAGTGGAAGCCGG